TAAAGCCAATTTGCGAATAAAAAGATGGAGGTCTTTAATCCAACCAAATCTGTCAAAAGGAGGAGTGGGTACAAATGATGTCCAATTGAAATGGTCCTATATGTAAGCCTCACCTTTTTGATATATTCATAGAAGGAAATCTATTTTTCTATATACATAAAGGTTTCTTTAAATTTATAGGGATGATATACCTACCTATGGATATCTGATTGATATGGTTCTCTTTACACCCAACTTATTGAATAATATCCCTATACAGTGAGATTCACTTCTGTCTTTATGAAGATTTATACTCAAGTTCAAATTCTAAGTGTTTGCGCATGCGCTCGCGATTTGACGCGGACATGCGCACTTCACTTGTGGGCTGTGATTACATATCTCTTGTCCGGCTGTGAACAATCGCTTGGCGGACGTGACTAAACCCGTCCTCCCGTGGACAGATAGGAGGGTCTTATGATATTTAAGAAGCGAGGGGAGGAAATTTTATTGCCATTTGCCTGCCCTTGAGAAAGGCGGTTAGACCACCGAAACGCGCGTTGGGCGACTTCTGTATATACTTATGACTACATAGTTATGATTTGATGATTTTGGCGTTTTTTTGACTGAGACTACAGCCTGCGGGACATCCCCCACTGAGAGATCCTCTATTTTTGCGGTCTCTCTGTATACTATAGGGATCTAAGTTTGTGCAGTGACAGAGCCCCCTTTTTTTATATTGGACCCTGTCTAGATAGCACTTTTTCCAACCTATCTGTTTCCTCTATCCCTTATCTCCCTATCCTTTCGATTTAACTTCTGCTAGATTAAATACAAGGAGTTTTTTCGTTGTTGGAAGCTGATATCTAAATCAGGGATTTCTACTAAAGAGGTTACCTAAGTCCATTTTTTCCTATATCTAAATCAGGGATTTCTATTGAAGAGGTTACTTAAGTTAAGTTTTCCCTATTTTAACCCATTAGGGGAAGGCTTATTGCTGTAATTAACTATCAACAGGCTGGACTTTTTTGGTATACACTTTTTGCAACTGTATTCGGTTGTTTCATACAATTATACATAAACTGCATTGTTCTGATACATTGTTATATACTTGCCTATACAAGTAAATTGCCTGAATACTCTACCAGCTAGACCTATAGTCTCTAGTCTCTACGTTTTAACTGTTCACAATTTAGGGTGAATGGGTGCTTTTTTTGTGTGTGTGGGTTTTTTTATATTATTATTATTTTTGTTTCAATAAAGGTTGTCAGTTTTTAAGCCATTATTACCTGAGATTTATCGGGGGTAGTAGTGGTGAGGAGAAATATCCCGGCTTTACGAGGAGCTCTCCTCATTACTTTTTCTGGTATTTTATTATTATATGTATATTCGTTTTTTCACTTTTTATTTTATTCAATTAAAGTATATATACTCTATGTAAACCCAGTCTCTATAAGTCCTACTTCCTATTTTATTTTGCTGCTGCTACTTTTGGGTCCTCTATATCCCTAGGTGGGGATTGTTCCACCTGAAGCTGTTTACACTAGAGCAGGTCTATTGCTCTAGTATATGTAAGTAGGATCATCTTTATATACTATATACTTACATGTACTATTTACACTATTAGTGTTTCTTTTCTTTCATGTTTTATATATTGTGCAAGCTCATCTCTATAAGCCTACCAGGAAGATCTCATATTAAGAAATCCACAGACGGGGATTATTCCGTCCAGTTATTTCACTGTTATTACATATTGCACTATTATTATTTTTTTGCTCTGTTTGAAGCCATATCATTGCCAAGTACCATCTACCACGTATGTAACGTATATATTTTTATGTATGGTTAGCGCTGTTCAGCTTTTTATTTTATATATCTGTTTTGTTTTTTCACAAGGTTAGGGGAACACCTTGTTGGTGAATTGAAGCTCATTTATAGATAGAAGGCACTTATTCTTGTTTTTTATACAGACAAATCTAATGTCAGAACTAAACAATTAAATTGATAGTGCTGTGATGTGTATAAATGCACATCATATATCTGCTCTATTAAAATTATAATTAAAGTGACATTACTATGCAAAACCTCATGAAATGCACACTGTCCTGTGGTCATCTCATATTTTCCAAGCAATCTCCATCAGTATGACCTGCACTGAATGAAGAACCATTCACAAAAACATGCATGACTAAGAGACGCAGATTTTGTTTCCCACCATCTTCATTGCCAACATGTTATGAATGTCCGCCATCTTACATTGGGGTCAAAGACAAAGAACTCCAGGGACATAATACACACTCGTTTGGCAGTCTGGTCAGCTTCAGACATTGTAGTCCAGTAGGCCATTCAATCTTGAAGAGCATTGAGGGCACAGGTCACAAGGCCTTCACAAATCTGCACGGTGTTGAACGGCCAAAGGCCCTGCACAATCCCTGCTTGCTGTCTTAGTACTCCTGAAGAACTGTTCAAAGAGACATGCCCTCACCTCCTGCTATTTTCATTTTACAAACAATGGTTTGAGGCTGCACGTCACAACCCCCTTGCCAGGTCTTCTATACCAGTGGCTCGGAGCAATATTTTGAAGAAGTATGGATTCCGTAAACCAACTGGTTGATCACAATGTGCTTGGTAAAAGACTTGGACACGGACAGGATTGCGAACATCAATGGCAAGAACACAGGAACATTCATTTGGACAATATCTCTTTTAATATATTAAATATTACCGGCATATGAGTTGGTAATCAAAATTTGGTTGCAAAAATCTGGTCGTTATGGTGCCAAGAGTGCCCCACTGCAAGCAGTCAAATGGTTTTAGAACACGCTCCTGTTCTCCACTTCTTCTCAGCCTTCAGGAAATCCAAAAGTTCCTGAATAGGAGCTTCCAATATCTCTCCTGAACTAAGCCGTGTAGTGCAGAATGCATTGGCTGAGACAGTCTGAGCATCTAAGTGGGTAGTGTAGTGGTTATGGTGCTTTTAGTGTTCCTATAAATTATTCAAATAACCATTTAATGTTTGTTAGACTTATCTATCACTTAAACTAGAAAACAGTTGATGTACATCAATAATTCACTGAAGAGCTGGAACATATGTATTTACTGGGGAGGGGTAAGCAGTGATAGTATGATTAAACACACCTGTACCTTTACTGTATTTCAGGATAATCAGCACCATCATCCTCCAAAGATCACCTACTTGTGGGTGAGCACTTGCCTTGTCCTGTTTAAAAATTTAATTCTTAAAAGATATATATCTTATAGCAATATTTTCTCCAAGTGCTATAAAAATGAAAATACCTTGTATTAATGGAACATTCACGAATTGAATTGTACGAGTAGAGAGAAAATGCACATTTTACTACTAAATGTGGTAAACCCGCTATGAGGGATGAGAGGGACGTAACCAAAGCTGGACAAAGTACTCAACTTCCTAAATGTTTTCAGTTACCACCGCAGATCACATGTATCACTGGAAAAAGGAAACCACAAAATTAAACTTTTGCGAAACAATATTCAAACTCACTACTTAGAAAACCTTTTTTGACTTTTCATTTATTTTTTTAAATTTATTTTTATTTGAAATCTTGGAATTAAATTAATGCATTACATATTTTTTTCCATTTTAAATATTTTAACAATTCTTACATTAGCTTACAACACCGCAAGTCTACACCCAGCTTTTATCTGTTTTCTTTATCATCATTTTTGAACTTTTTTTCTGAAGCCAACTTGCATACTCATGTATTTTCCACTCATGAGCGTGCGCGGGGGGCTGTGGCAGTTGTGTCTGGGAACGTCCTAACGCAGGGTCAAAATCTCCTCCCTGTCCACTGTTTCAAACTTGTGCATTAATGCTTTTCACCTAGTACAAACTAATCAAGTTCCTTTTAATCTATCAATTAACTGATCCATCTGGAATTTACCAGGGTAAATCCTGGACAATCAATTCGTTTTGGTGTAGATAGAATGGAGTTTGATAAGTCCATACCAGCTGAAAAGCATTAATGCACAATTCTACCCTGTTTTGGTGTCTGTGCGTACTTTTGCATGATTTTGGGTAAGCTTGTTATGTTTTTGAATATAAACCATGTTCAAACCTTATCATTTAGTCAAACTATATATATACATCTATGTACCCACTGTAAGAAATTTAAATAAAAATTCTACTTCTGTAAAGGTTAATTTAAGCATATTGCCATTTTGCATACACTTTAAAAGTTCTGAATGATATGAATGTTCTATAGTTTAACTCCTGTATAAATACTTTGCCACCATCAGCCAGAAACTGAAGGCAGAAACTCAGGAAATCTAATTTGTACTCTAATCCCCTTTCATGGCTAACTGGTTTTACACCTAGAACCTGCGTAATGCTTGTGGGGTAAATAATTAATGACATATATAATTAAAAAAAACTAAAGATATGCTTTACTAGAATAATACACAGGTGTATTGTGTGTCAGACTTATCTTGTGATTATAATGACCGCTTGGTCTCTTTAGTCTTGTGCAATTCCTTACAAAGCTACTTGTTGTAATGCACTTGTAGGCATTAACCAATTTGAAGTGGTCATGGTGCTTGGAGTCTATGTGTGCAGAGTTTTGGTTCGAAATACTGCACATACATCGATAAGCACTTTTTGTAATTCCATCTATGACTGCACCATTAGAGTTGGCTGATCGTCATTCTGTGCTTATTAGGTTTTTATCATGAGCATGCTGGTGACAGACGACCAATGGAATCATAACCCCCTTTTCCATACCATCCTCGTTCTCCCCTCAGCCCATCCTCTGGGATGTCTCCTGTCACCAGAGGAGTATCGACCTGCAGAGGGGACTTGGCCTTGGCACTAGATCACATGTAATTTAATGCTTCAAGTAACTGCAAGTGGCGAAGTCACCATCGGGGGTCTTTGTATGTTTTGCAAAGACCCCAGAAAGTGACAGAGTCACTTTAATTTTATTTTTCACACCTCACAAATAAATAGGTGTGAAATATAGAGATAAGTTAACAAAATACTAAATAAAGTTTCCCTATAATGCAGTGGTTTTGGTGCGTAGATGCTTGTAATATTTGCATATGTAATTTCCAACCAATCACATTTATTTTCACCTCACTGCTGTATTTAATAAACCGTCACCCGGTTAGCTACAACTGGCATCCTAGCATTACTGGTACACACGCTTCATTAACACGACAACAAAAATATTACATGGTGTCAGAAAGAAACGTATCTCTTCTATCGACATGGATGCAGCTGGAGTTCCTCCGCCCATGATGAACTGGGAAGCAAGTAACTTGCCTGACACATGGCGGACGTTCACACGCAAATTCTCACGTTCGACAGACCCCTAAAAATTAAGGCTGAGGATGAAAAATGCAACTACCTTCTACTATGGGTTGGTGAAAAGAGCAGAGACATTTTCAATACATGGGCCTTACCTGCAGACAATGTCATTAAAGTCCTATGATCACCCTTTTGTAGCATTAGTCCAGCCCAAAGCAAACATGATATTTACAAGATACAAGTTCCATGACAAAGTAGAGCAGGCTCAGAAACACTTTGAGCAGTTCTTAATAGACTTGTGGCTCCTTGCTTGTCACTGAAATTATGCTCAGCGCGGTAAGATGATCCGAGACCACATTGTTTTCGGCATACATTCTACAAGGATGAGAGAGAAATTATTAAATGACGGGTCTGAATTAAAGCTAGACAAAGCGATCGATATTGCCAGATCACATGAATATGTCCATTCTGTAAACAAAGATGACACTGGCCCAGAAGAGCTTGATGAAATGTTGGTAGACTCTGTGACCCAAAACAATCAAGTCCAGAGCAAGATTTTGCCGGATTCCAAGTCGGTTTAAAATAAATTGGAAAATGATTCAAGATAGACACTGGATCCTCAGCTAACGTCATTCCACTATACCAGGCTTCCCCAAACTCCGGCCCTCCAGATGTTGCTGAACTACAGCTCCCGTGATTCTCAGCCTATCTACTTCATTCATGGAGTCATGGGAGTTGTCGTTCAGCAACATCTGGAGGGCCGGAGTTTGGGGAAGCCTGCCCTATACTAATACAATAAGATGAAAACCCAGTGCACTGTGCGACCGGCACCTTGACACCTATACGGGTAGGGATGTGAACGCTTGCCAAGTGCAACCTGAATTACCACCACAAAGACACTCGAATGTTCCTGACTACATCGTCGACACCTCCCGCCATAAGACTAAAAAGCAGCATAGATTTTGGCCTCATCAAACTGGTACTATCCATCGCAAGCAGTCCGAGTAATGTACCAACCATGGAGAAATTTGCAGAAGTTTTTAATTACAGAATTTGGTTTATTCCCTGGCGAGTGTGCTATACACTTAAACCCACAGGCAACCCCAGTAGTGCACCTGCCGAGACGCATCACTCTTGCATTACACCTTAAGGAAGAACTATAAAGCATGGAGAGGTAGGGTGTCATTTTTAACCCCTTAAGGACCAAACTTTTTGAATAAAAGGGAATCATGACATGTCACACATGTCATGTGTCCTTAAGGGGTTAAACTTATAGAGACTTGGCTGAAATGTCAAGCCACGTAGAAGCAAAGTGCGGGTATGTCTAGATCCGAGAGATCTCAATAAGTCAATCAAACTACCTCGTTTTCCTTTACCTACTCTCAAAAATATCACATCCAATGATGTGAGAGACTGATAAAGTCACAAAGGAAATAATTACTTCAAATTATTGCTACTGAAGATGGTTCGAGACACTGTTGATTCATAAGGTGTTCCTAGTTTTTCACACAAGGCTTCTCCATTTTGGCTTTATTTTTGTTAAATCATGACACGGTGTAATATGTCACGTGTTGTTGTTCATCATTGGTTGTATTTACCTAATTTTAAGACCTGCTAAGGAACAGAGGATTATTATTATTATGTCCATAGAATTCAAACAGGGTGTACTTTCTTTTTCCTGTGACTGTCTGGCATCTCAGATGCAACTCGAACGTAGATGATTTTGTTTACCTCCAGATGCAGCATAATTTTTGTGTCCAAAGTTATAAAACCACAAATGTCTCTATTTTTAACTGATTAGTTCTCTCCTGGCTTACTTCCTGGTGTACCTTGCTCTTGATTACATTATTCTTTATGTTGTTTCCTGGTTACTGACTTTGATTGCACTTTCTGACGTCATATTGCCTGCTGTTACACCAATTGTTTTGTTTTTTTACCATACTTTTTTATTTTTTATTTATTTTTGCAGTGCATAAAAACAGTACATGTAGGCTCGAAGTGCCCCAAAAGCATTCTTCAAGCATTTCCCTTGCGTAACATGTGGGGCAAGTGATTATCAGGCACATTTTTTAATATTATAAGCAGTTTTAACATTGTAGCTTCAATTTTACGTTTACAACTATGCTATATACAAGCTTGGTCAGAGCGCAGGTTAGGTTAGTATCACACGCTTTATACAGGTATACATTGTTAGTCAGGTAGACAGGCTAATGCTGTTGATCTCTATATCTGCATCATGAAGGTGAGGCGCCTACGCATCTCTCCTCAGTTGGTCTAGCTTGTACTTCCACGTTTGTAAAAACAGTAGACTATTTAGGCGTGTAACCTTAACAAAAGAGTTTTATGCTGATTAAGTGCATATGTGAGTTCCTGAGCTGTCTGTAGTGCGAGACATACTAGGCTTACAGGTGTTAGATAACATTGCTAACAGGTGTATTTATAGTGAGTATGATTTTTAAAATAGCGTTTCAACAGGAAAATAAACTGGAGTGTGAGCTCGCTCAGCAAAGTGTGCCAATTACACCTAGTTCAGGGAGACAAAACGCTGGTAAAATTAATTGTGCTATGCTGTCCAACATTAAGCAGATCGGCGCGAGCAGGACAGTTAGCTTTAAAAGTCTTGAGATTCACTTAGCCAAGCCAGCTGCTGGTATGAGATTGTCCCCCAAAGTGGCTTTGTGCATTGGCCATTCGCCCCCGCCATGCTGCTCGAGGTCTTGGGTCTCCTCTGCCTGTAGTCGTCTGCATAGCTGGGTGGTGAGTACACGGAGCCGATAGCTTTGCTTGGGGATATGTCTGACTGTAACCTGAGGGCCAAAGGTTGCGCCTGTCTTGGGTTGGTGTCCGTGCCGTTGCGGTGCTGTGCGCATCCTCCCACCTCTCCACTGAGCTGGTTTCGGTCTGCCTCTGCTCTCTGCCGGTCCCCGTCAGCATAGCCCCTGAAAGCCCCTCGCTGGTGCTGGCTACGTGCTGGTGTGCGGTTGGGGTGGGGGAGAATCTTTAAATTATCAATACTGTAGCTTTAAGAAAAGAGATGATTGCTGGCAATTAGAGAATCAAACAAAGTTTTAATGATTGTGATAAACTTAAGTGAAAAGCATATAGGTAATAATTCAATAAGAAGAAATTGCTGGTTATTTCCTCAGAGATGTATTGAATAATATTCTTTAGGTTGATAGGAATAATCTTCTATAGAAATAGTATGCAGGTAGCAGAGAATATTTGCAAAGCAAGAAACAGTTCATAGTGGTTAAGCTTGATGGGAGTTATCCTCAATATCATTAGTGTGTATGCAGCAGAGAGGATTTGTGCAAGCAAGAAACAGTTCATCAATAACTGAGATTCCAGATAATAAATTGGAAGTTATACTTAAGATTAATGTGAGTTGTCCTCCAAGAGATCAGTATTGGAGTCCACTTGTTAAATGGTAAAGTGTCCGTTCTCCAGTAATCCTCTAGCGGATGAAGCATAATCCTTTTATCTTCAAAGGTTTAGGAAGGCTTGTGAGAGAAGCTTGTGGAGCTGGCGTCTATACCCGGAAGTAGATCCCACAATCACCAAGCGCTTTCTCTCTGGCGCGGTCTCTCTGGCGTAGTGTCAGAGAGCCGCGTCAGAAGGGGGTCGGGGCTGGCTCCGCATAGCGGAATGCCGAACCCGGAAGAGATACCACATGACAGTCATATGCTCCTACTAGCTACATTAATAAAGTGCCACTATTATCTAGTCGTGGGCTAGAACTTCAGTGATGAAGTTTGCCCAAAGCACACACACAGGGAAAGCTGTAGCTTGGTCATGCTACAGATGGTGTGAGAGCGGAGTAAATTTTACATCTGAGTAGTTATGTATGTGTGTTTTTGCATATAAGAATCTATAGCTGTTTGTCTGTAGCTAGGGTTATGGATGATGCATCTAGGAGTATGTATCTACAGCACCCATGGGAGAAGATGATTTGGCCACTTGTTATCAAGCTAGTATATGTTTGCTTGGTCACTTGCAGTGGGTTGCTTTGTGGCATTAAGACCAGGGGCTTCAGCCCAATGGTAAACTGTATGCAGAGCCGGACTGGCCCACTGGGATACCGGGAAATTTCCCGCTGGGCCGTCGGCACCTGGGACTGGGCAGACAGCTGTCTGGGCTGGCAGCCGCAGGGTGAGCTATTCTTCTGGTGACCGCAGGGTGAGCTCTGAGGGCGGCCGCAGGTAGAGCTGGCTGTTCTGCCTCTGCTCTCCCGTCCTCGTGCGCTGCTGAATGAGACCGCGGCCAGAATATGACGTCATATTTCGGCCGCGGCCTCATTAACATAGAAACATAGAATGTGACGGCAGATAAGAACCATTCGGCCCATCTAGTCTGCCCAATTTTCTAAATACTTTCATTAGTCCCTAGCCTTATCTTATAGTTAGGATAGCCTTATGCCTATCCCACGCATGCTTAAACTCCTTTACTGTGTTAACCTCTACCACTTCAGCTGGAAGGCTATTCCATGCATCCACTACCCTCTCAGTAAAGTAATACTTCCTGATATTATTTTTAAACCTTTGTCCCTCTAATTTAAGACTATGTCCTCTTGTTGTGGTAGTTTTTCTTCTTTTAAATATAGTCTCCTCCTTTACTGTGTTGATTCCTTTATATATTTAAATGTTTCTATCATATCCCCCCTGTCTCGTCTTTCCTCCAAGCTATACATGTTAAGATCCTTTAACCTTTCCTGGTAAGTTTTATCCCGCAATCCATGAACCAGTTTAGTAGCCCTTCTCTGAACCCTCTGTAAGGTATCAATATCCTTCTGAAGATACGGTCTCCAGTACTGTGTACAATACTCCAAGTGAGGTCTCACCAGTGTTCTGTACAATGGCATGAGCACTTCCCTCTTTCTACTGCTAATACCTCTCCCTATACAACCAAGCATTCTGCTAGCATTTCCTGCTGCTCTATTACATTGTCTGCCTACCTTTAAGTCATCAGAAATAATCACCCCTAAATCCCTTTCCTCATATGTTGAGGTTAGGACTCTATCAAATATTCTGTACTCTACCCTTGGGTTTTTACGTCCAAGATGCATTATCTTGCACTTATCCACATTAAATGTCAGTTGCCACAATTCTGACCATTTTTCTAGTTTACCTAAATCATCTGCCATTTGGCTTATCCCTCCTGGAACATCAACCCTGTTTAGTGATCTCCCGAACTGTTCGCCAAGCGAATGGTTCGCGCGGACTCCAGTCAGCTGACACATTCCAGCCAATCAGCAGCAGACCCTCCCTCCCAGACCCTCCCACCTCCTGGACAGCATCCATTTTGAAGCTGCATTCTTAGTGAGCTGTCCAGGAGGTGGGAGGGTCTGGTAGGGAGGGTCTGCTGCTGATTGGCTGGAATGTGTCAGCTGACTGGAGTCCGCGCGAACCGTTCGCGGCAAACCGTGGCGAACAGTTTGCGAACCGTTCGGCGAACAGTTCGGGACATCACTAACTGTTACATATCTTAGTAACATCAGCAAAAAGACATACCTTACCATCAAGACCTTCTGCAATATCACTAATAAAAATATTAAAGAGAATGGGTCCAAGTACAGATCCCTGAGGTACCCCACTGGTGACAAGTCCAAGCTTCAATATATTCCATTAACTACAACCCTCTGTTGCCTGTCACTCAGCCACTGCCTTACCCATTCAACAATATTGGAATCCAGACTTAAAGATTGCAGTTTATTGATAAGCCTTCTATGTGCAACCGTGTCAAAAGCCTTACTGAAATCTGGGTAAGCAATGTCTACTGCACCACCATGCGCGCGAGGGCGGGGAGCAGAGACAGAACAGCCAGCTCTCCCTGCGGCCGCCCTCAGAGCTCACCCTGCGGCCACCAGAAGAAGAGCTCACCCTGTGGCCGCCAGAAGAGTTCACCCTGCAGCTGCCAGCCCAGACAGCTGTCTGCACACAGGTAGCAATTATGTGTGTCAGTGTGAGTGTATGTGTGTCTGTCTGTATCATGGTGTGTGTGTGTGTCTGTGTCATGGTGTGTGTGTGTGTCATGGTGTGTGTCTGTGTGTCTGTGTTGATGTGTGTGTGTCTGTCTGTCATGGTGTGTGTCTGTGTCATGGTGTGTGTGTGTCATGGTATGTGTGTGTGTCTGTCTGTGTCATGGTGTGTGTGTGTTTCTGCCTGTGTCATGGTGTGTGTGTGTCTGTCATGATATGTGTGTGTATGTCAAGGTGTGTGTGTCTGTCATGGTGCGTGTGTGTGTCTGTCATGGTATGTGTGTGTGTCTGTGTTTTTACTCACCTTTTTTCCCCTCACGTCGTGCTGGTCTCCCCTCAACTGGCCCTGCCTCTATGGCTGAGATCATCAAGCTTGATGATCTCAGCCAATCTGGACTGACACAGGAAGCACCTCTAGTGACCGTCTGAGTGTCTCTCACTAGGAAGCAATGTAAACACTGCCTTTTATATGAAAAGTCAGTGTTTACATTGAAAAGCCTGCAGGGACAGGCTATAGACATCAAAACCACTACATTAAGCTGTGTGTGTGTGTGCCTGCTAGTGAGTGTGCTTGCTTGCCTGCATGCGTATGTGTGTGTGTGCCTGCTAGTGAGTGAGCTTGTGTTTGTATGTCAATGAGCTTATGTATATCAGTGAGATTGTTTGTCTATGAGCCTGTGTATCAATGAGCTTGTGTGTGTCAGTGAGATTGTCTGTGTCTGCATGCGAGTATGCTTACTGTATAATTAAACGTTTTACTCTGAAAGGACCAATATTTTATATTAGAAAAGGCAATATATATATATATATATATATATTACTCAATCATATGGGGTGGCAAGACATATTACATGCAACAATATATGGCGCAATGACTTATGGGGCTGGCATAGATTTTTTTTCCAGGGCTGCTTTGTATCCCCAGTCCGGCCCTGACTGTATGGCTTCTCCCTCCCAATAAATTGCTCCAGTATCCCATTCTTAAACATATTCTATGAGTCACATTAAGAAACCAAGTCTTTAAATAAATGGAAATGATATAAATCTGATTATATACGTAACCTTCTCGTGCCTCAATGTTTATATGCCAATTAGCCCTCTCTCAACCGAATTTATATATCCACATTCCCCCCGATCATGCACACCACGTACTCAAAACATACACACTGTAAAGACGCGTTTTATCTCATGCACTTCATAAATAAAAACCTACTGTTTGAAACGTTTCAGAGATATTTTATTACTTATCTTATCTCTCTCAGCTGCTCCATATAGATCTGCACAGGGGTGGGATACTTTACTGTACTTTTTGCAAACAAATAAGTTGAAGGTTCACAGTAGCAGTCCATAGTTCTCTCCTTCCCTTATTTTACTATGTTCTACACAGAGGTTCTTGGTTCCTGTGATACACCAAGCATGTTGAAGTAGTTGTTGCCTTTAAACCCAGGGAAGAGGCAAGGGCAGGGAGCATTCTGGTTTGGAGAAGGGGTCAAGCTGGGTGATGGAATCAACCTATGCTTCCTGCTGCAACAAGGAATTCGGACCTAGGGCTTCGACCTCTGTCAACCCTTCCCTAGCAGCACCACTGGTCACTGGCTGGATCTAGGCGATGCATTCATTCTCTTATGGTCATAATGATAAATATTTCTTAGTGTCCGTGTCCGATATCATACTTTAATTCTGCTGCTGAGAACCTTTTGTATGGGTTTAAAGGGACAGTGTGAGCACCAAAAATGTAAATAAATTTTAAACATGCTTAATATGTTTTGTCCTCTTAATATGCGCTATTTTGCATAATTAGTTCTCTGTAGCTTTTGAAAAGAATTACCATTAGTTTTCCTCTTTTGCCACACCTCCCCATTCCAAAAAAATTACTTCCTTACCAGTCTACACACGCATCTCAACCACTGACAGCACTGAGTTAGCTGAGCTGCAGGAAACTAAGCAGCCTGCATTAGAAGAAGAGGACACCTCCCAACATTGGGAGGTATGAACTCAGGACAAAGGGTTCAGAGTGTCTATTGGGGCATTCCAGGATGGCCAAAATGGGTGGTACCTCTTGGGAAGGTCATGCGGCTGTCTAAAGGGGGGCTTATCGGGTATAAATGCCAAGTTAACAGCATCTCTAGCCAGCCCGTCAGGGAAGACCTACACTGCCGCAAGTAAAGCTAGCGGAATGTGGTTGTATTGGTGGTGGTATTAGCTGCCAAAATAGTATGGTTTGTATGCCATTTTACAGACCCCTAGGCAGACCTCATCTGGAATATTGCATGCAATTGTAGATACTGTATTTCCAAGAGGAAACTAGGGCTATTAAATAATAACTGTGTTAAAGTATTTAGCATGTCTGCAAGAGTGCATCTCTATGGGGAAAATTCAGCTTTATCATGCAGAGCGTGGGGACGCTGAACGTCAGGGCTGCTTTTTCGGCAGCATTGAGCCAGGAAGCACCTTCAATGGCCCTCTAAGGAGTGGCCACTTGGAGGTTTCCCTAGGGGCAATGTAAACACTGCCTTTTCTCTGAAAAGGCAATGTTTGCCTGAAAAAAGCCTTAAGGGACCTATTATACTCACTATAACAACTGCATTACGCTGTAGTTGTTCTGGTGTCTATAGTGTCCATCTAATTTAGAATTCAAGGTAAAAATAGCCTAACGGGAAAGTCAGAGATGCTTCCAGTCCAGCTACTTTGGCCTTAAAGGAATACTCTGATCATCATAACAACTTCTTTAAAGACTTTTGCTATGAATGAGGAGCTACTGATAGGGTTAGAGCGTCAGCTGACTTCCCCAGATGCCACTTGGGGGATCTGGAGATAACCTTTGGGGTTAAAGGATCAGGAAAACAAAGCGATGGTTAAAACCCCTTCAGCAGCTTCCCTTATTCCAGCGCCGGTGACCTCTCCTCCCCCGCCGACGTCAGCTCCCGAGTGGAGCGGAATGCGCAGCAAGTGCCGCGCGCCCATTCAAAACACTCCAAATAGAAGCATTTCTCAATGCTTTCCTATGGACGCTCTGCGCGATGGATGTGAAATTCACATCCAGCGTCGCAGATACATCAGGAAGACGGCCACTAGAGGCTCGCTTAACGCCTAATGTAAACATTCAGCTGCAGGGTTAAAACCTGAGGGTCCTGGCACCCAGACCACTTCATTGAGCTGAAGTGGTCTGGGTGACTATAGTGTCCCTTTAATTGTTCTAGAACGCTCTAACCACTCAAAGTAAGAGGACGCTCGGGGGCCTCCTGGCACCATAATAACTTCATTTAGACGCAGCATCCCTTGCGATTTGAAATTCACTCCTCATTCTCACTTTAGTGAATAACCCTGTAGTGTTTTATATTGGCACCGCATTCCAGGTGGCACAGGTAACCCATTCCAGGTTCAACAGGACATGGGACATTCTAAATGGAACCAGAACATAGAACTCCAAAATGGAACGTCCGCAGACCTCCACAGGAGAGAGCTACGGACATTCTATGCATGACGCCTCACTCACCCATTCTCTGCCGTGGAGTGGGCGGGGCCTGCCCGTCACATGGCCGTGGAGTGGGCGTGTCTTCCAGTCAGCTGAGGGGCGGCCATTTTGTGTGTCCGTGTCCGGTGACAGCAGAATCCGGCGGGGCTCGGCCCGGTGTTCGGACATGGCGCTCCGCATAGTGAAAGGCAGCATCGATCGCATGTTCGATAAGAACCTGCAGGACCTGGTGCGGGGGATCCGGAACCACAAGGAGGATGAGGTGAGGGGGTGGGTGGGATGGCTGAGGATGATAGGGGAGCAGGGGATTTGGGGGGGTGCCCTTAGAGTCCCCGACCTGACAGCAAGGGGTCTGAGGGGCACAGAGCCGGTAACACGGGCCTGGCTCGGGTAAGGGGGGGTTACAGAATGGGTGATTCATTGATTGGGGAGTCTGGGGGGTGGCTGAGGATGATAGGGGAGCAGGGGATTTGGGGGGTGCTCTTAGAGTCACCGACCTGACAGCAAGGTGTGTGAGGGGCTCAGGTACTGGGGTTACAGAATGGGTGATTCATTGATTGGGGGGGTCTGGGCTGTGCTACGTGTAAGCTATGGAAGGCATATCTACGTATTGCTTTAGGTGGGTTAATGTGCTCAGGGTATAAGGTGAGTGCTAGCTCACTGGCCAACAAAGTGCACATGGGGCACATGCCCATTCCAGGCTGGAATGAATGAGGAGGGTCAGGCTGGGAGCTATCAGAGCAATATGGCATTTTAATCAGTGTTATGGGATGCCTTCTATGGATGGCAGGGGTGTATTTAACCTCTGCAGTGCTAGGGCTGAGCAATGAACTTGGTTCTGGCACCCATCTGGTTCAATTGCAATGCCAGCTGGCATATAAACTGGCACTTTGCGACCCATAACTAGAATGGCACACTGTAATTACACACCATTTTAGCAATGTTTTTTTAATTACATTGTTACCCTGCCCTATATATTTCTCACCACACTCTCTCTGGGCTCTGCCTATATGTAGTGCTTGAAGGAGAGTATTTTTAAAGCAGTAATGGAAGCAGTTTTATGATCCTATTAGTGCATGAGAAACACGTTCCCTGTATGTCATTGTTTTAGTATTTATTTATTTTCCTTCCCACCATTCATTTTGAATAATGCATTACCAGTTTGCTGCCATATTTTACTGATCTGCATATTGACAGGTCTAATGAGGGTTGATACTCTGCAATACAGTGAGATAGACTGTAAATTCGTTCTTCTATCTATAATCCACGATTGGATAATTATTGGATCTGTGTTCTGCATTCTCCAGTGCTGCTCAGCCAACCATAAGCAGTGGGCATTAGAGCCCACAACAACAGAGGTGACATATTTTGCCAAACATTGAAAGCAAAGTCAACTTTAGTTTCAGTTTCACCCATTTTCCATTTAAAGAAAGAAAAAATCCTAAAATTGTTATTTTGTTGGATGGAGTGATAATTCTTATCTCTGGATATATGTAGCCACAAATAGGGCGAGTCCTGGTTCTATATAGACTTACTTGTATAAAAGGGATTGGGAACATAAGAAGCATAGAGAATGAATTAACCTGTATGTTAATAATGAACTTGGTGAATAAACCAGAAATGAACGAGGGGCAGCGGAATTTAGGAAAACTTAAAATGTGCTTAATTAAAGCAAAAATGTGATATTTTTGTCATTTGGCCATTGTGATGTGTGAACAACCTAGCAGTAAAACACTTGGAGATGGTTTTTTTTTTTTTCCACTACTTGCCAAAATCAAGTGTTTATTATTATGCAACATGGTTAATGGATTTCCGTTATTTTACCCAACCTGCACTATTAAATTAGAGGCTGCAAGCACTCATCCATCACAAGATTTACATTTTCAATTCCTCCCTTTTAACTAGCAGGGCCTTGTAAGAGACATGTGATCCAGTCTATATAGAACCACTGAATATTATATCTTTTGACCACAAGTCACTTTTTGCCAATTATTTAGTTTGATTCTTTGTAAAACTAAAAAATTCTATCAATTTCCTTTTCAAAATTATAATAAAATATATATTATATGCTAAACTTTTCTAGTACCTAATAGAATTCATTCAAACCTCATGCTTTTTGCTTGTGGCTAGTGAACATGCACCCAGAATCAAATGAAAACAATACCTAGCACACACCCTTGTACAGGGAATCTTGGGCACGTGGCCAGGAAGTAGAGAGGAGTATTCTACTCGATTCTACTGCACCGTTAATACCATACACCTTTCAGTGTAATTCACTGGAGAATAAAATAGTAACTGTCTCCAACTAAAATATTGTGTAATGAATTAAGAGAACTTCTGAATGTCAGTCTTGTGTATATTCTCAGTAATCTATTCCACATCTAGATATTTACAGGGTTATTCAAAGTGTCACTCTCACCCTCCCCTGCAAAATGAGTATTACATAAAGATCCTCCATAGAGCGGCAGCTGAAGGGCCAGGAGCAGAAAAGGATCAGCCAGGGAAGGAAGGTGGCGCCCGCAAGGGGCAGGTTATGGCAGATATGTAAAATCCCCAGACGGTAACGGTGTTATAAGTCCAAAATAACCAAATTGGGAAAAAAAGAAAATCTATGTCTGCAATGCTTCTTGATCAGCTACTTTGGCTTAAAATTTAATATTCACTGTGATTTTACTTTGAATTCGCACCTTTCTGAATAACCTGTTAGTTTGATTCCTCTCTGGTTAATTGATCTTGGGAACTAAAATATAGCTGCAGTGAGAAGCATTTCATCAATGAAATATTATAGCTAAAATGAGTTAAAGACACTGTTCCCTATTTATATCTAGTCTAGCACTTTCGCAGACTGAACTGCTTGTGTATGGTGCATGCGCAAGCACGGTCACATTCATTCTTTTGAGGATGAGTTTTTAAAAAGGGTTGAGCTTAACTTTTTAAAGGTTGTGTATTTAGGCTGCATGAAATAATTATATACAACCAATACCAGAAAATCGGATAAGCGCTATAAGATCAACTATACATGATTATGGAAGCAGGCTGCAAACACTAATGGTAAAGGATACCATCCACCCCTTACTGTTGGATAAAGCTATTTTGGTGCAACCTGCATCTGTATGTTGTATGAAATACAATTGTGTTTGTAAAGCTTGAGGCATTAATTGTAAAATGCGTTTTTGAATGGGTATCAAAATTGTCCGCGTGTCTGTGCCTGTAACGTGTATACAGATCACTTTCCCCCCCTGAAATATTTATTGTATTTAACAATAAAAATATACTAAATAACAGATTTGTACAGCGCTACGGAATCTGATGGCGCTATATAAATAATAATACACAGACCAACCCTGATTTTAAATGGTCTCTTGAGGCTAGGCTCACTAACAGCTATCATTTAAGGGACACTATAGGCACACAACCACTTAAGCTCATTGAAGTGTTCTGGCTGCAATGTCCCTATTGCACTTAGTGCTGCAATGTAAAACATTGCAGCTCTAAGTCTGCCTCCAGTGGCTGTCTATCAGCATCAGCTATTTCCCCATAGGAAAGTATTAGCGCCCGTTTGTTGTCTGACGGAGGAGGTGGAGCTGGACCCAGTGCCAATGGACATCGGTGCTGGGATCAGGTAAGTAAATAGAGGGGTTTAACTCTTAATTTACCGTGGCACGAGGGAAAGGGAGGAAGAGGGAGTGATAGTGCCAGGAATACAGCTTTGTACTCCTGGCACTATAGTATGCCCTTAAGCATGTCACAAAATAGCTGAGAGCTGTAATCGTGTAGTTCTTAATTTAAAGGAATGGTAACACTTTTCCTTTCATTACACAAAACAATATGGCTTGTCTAAGAGAAGCACTGTATAATCCACTCCTTTCCTGGCTTTCATAAACCTAGCCTAATACATAAAAAAGAGAAGGTTAATTAATGCTACTTCTATATTTTTACAGATCAATTTAATTCATTTAGAGTCTATGTAAGTGTGCCATCCAGTTACTTTTAACAAATATACATTGTATCCCTAATCCAAAATATTTTACACAAAACCGGTTTAAGATGCACTGTGCAATTTCTACAAAGAATCGTCCCCCCCCCCAAGTGACATGTTCACTTCCATGATGGTACCAGGTGGAGTGGAGAAATGGGGAATTAAAGGTTCTGGTCCTCAGCTCCTCCATCTTCCGGAACAGGACAATTTCAGCTCCAGGCTACACATAACCTCCAGGTGCTGTGCCAGTGGCATTCACTGACGCCCGCTTGAGAGTGTAAAATTGAGGTTTTTGAAGACCCTGTTTTGTAGATCTTCTTGCATTTATACAATGACGCGCTTTAAATATCTATTGCCTTGCAAGGTGTTTCCTTAGCCTTTGTGAGTGTCAGTTAATGGGACATTGCAAAATCTGTCGTTGGAATCTGTTTAAAGGGACACCCTGAGTACTAAACCACTATGTAATGCAGTGGTTGTGGTAAATATATAATGTGCCTTTTGTCTGATTCAGTGAAACTTTGCAGCCACTGAGAAACTGCAGTATTTACATTTTGACAGAAATATGCCTTTAGTGTTTAACCAGACAGGCACTAGAACCGCTTATACTTCAGATCCTTTGATTTTCGAAGGACTTCACATTCAGTAACGTCACTCACATGCAGAGTGTGGAGATGCTGAACGTAGGTGCTGCACACTGTGTAGCACTGACATAGAAAGCACCTCTACTCTGAGAGACTGCCGCTAGAGTTTTTAATAGGCAGCACTGTAAACACTGCATTTTCTCTGTAAAGGCAGCGTTTACATTGAAAAGTCTGCAGGGGCACCCTATAGACTCAAGAACCACTAAATTAAAGCTGCACCCCCCGAACAATGAGTATTTCATAAAGATTGAATCTTTACTAATTCACTGAAATTCCAACCCAGTCAAGAGATATACAGAGACAGTAGGGACTACTTTGTATTTCTCCTGTGCCTGACTTTTTTTAAAAAAAAATATTTTTTTTAAACTTTCTTAGACTCAGAGCAGAGTCTAAGTGTCAATCCCAACAGCCGTCACCAGTGACGACTGCAAGGAATTGACTTTGTCTATGGAGGGTCTCGCGGAATCCTCCAGAGACCTCAATGCTGTACTCTCATGCATGCAAAAAGTCTTTATTGAAATAATTTTTAGAAATATTGAAGGTTTAAATATATAAACACCATGTCCTAAACATATTAATTATCACTGCAAATGAAAATACTCATGTTTTGTTTTTGTTTTTTCTCATTTAAAAACAAACAAAAAAATCTTTTAAATAGCTTTGGGGGAAGGGTAAAGGGTGGGGAGAAGCAGCTCCTCTCCAGTTTTTCCATTTTTTTGTAACATCCTTGTCATGAAAGTCCCAGTTTTTAAGCAAAACTGTGCGAAAACTGATGATAGAATTAAGAACACTTGCAATGTATACTTGTATAAAAGCAGACAATCTTTGTGCAAGCAATGGAAACCGTATCTACTGTGCACTAAGACTTGTTGGTGTGGAATATAAATATTCCTGTAACTATAACCCATCGTACCTACATAAAGAGGAAATTAAAAGATATCCACTGATTAGAGCTTGGCGTGCTAGAATATAATGCTGCTGGTATATCAAAAAGTTGGATAGTTTTACACTTACCCTCTTCTCATGACATGCTTGGTTTGTTCAAACTTCTTAGAACTTTAATTGGAAGAAAAAATAAATATCCAGGCACACCTGGGCTTTCTTCTAAAAAGCAATGTTTTATTGGGAACAAAAAAGTCTGATAAAGGCTGAGAGGAGCCAAAACGTTGTCTCCACTCCTTTGTTCCCAGTAAAAGACTGCCTTTTTAGAGGCAACCTCAGGTGTGCCTGGATATTTATTTTTTTCTTCCATTTGATGTCTCCATGGATTGGCCCTTTCCTTCTGGAGCACTCTGCAGGAAGTATTTCCCATTTTTCGTGTGTGCATTATACTTTTGTATTCTTGCAAACTTCTTAGGAGTTTGAGTTCTATGATGAACCCTACTACATATATCCAAAAACCCCATGATAACACGAGTTGATTGCCTGGACGCAGCCACCCAGTTTCCCATAGGGAAGCATTGGGAGGCTGCCGTGCATGCGCATTAAAACACCATGCTGTGACAATCAAATGCTTTTGTTATGGTGGCAAAAATGTCTTCGTGCAAAACAAAAATACAGGGACAGTTAAAAAGAGAGTACAAACCGTGTTTGTTTTTTCAGTTTCTTTCTACGGCTCCTATTTTTGTTAATTGTATTGATACATAATTTATTGTGCTGTGCATACCAGCAGAAAGCTCTGTCAGTCCTATAAAAAAACAAGCAAAACTATATATAATATGTATGGGCTTACTTCATTAGAAAGCAGTAAAGTACAGTGGGACAGATGCATAGCAAAAGTGCAAAAAAGGCCTTAATTGTAAATGCGGAGAATCTCAGAAATGCCTGTGTAACTAAGGAGTTAGTTTTAGACGTTTCCTGTCATAGTTCAAACTGGAAATACCATTCTTAAATGAATGATGTGGCTAAACCAACAATACTTAACCAAGTTAAAGATTGGTCTATTTGATCAAGAGTGTTTCCACTGTTTAGTTATCTAGAACTTAACATGATTTAGTTTTTAATAAAACACAGTATTTTGGGGTGGAAAATATGAAACCAGATTTTCTGGATTTCCCTTGAGTCCCATTATGATGAGTGACTGTGTATCTGTGAAAGATCCCTTGCAAGAGTACCGGCTTCTGCCGTTACAGGAGGAATAAAGATAATACCAGGGCAGCTACCAGAGGCACTTCCTGTAGATTCACTTAATGAGACGACGCTGGACGTGTTGAAAGCCCCCATACAAAAGCATTGTCAATTTTTTGTATTTTTTTTTTTTTTAAATAACTAAAATCTGCTAATTTGGGTGCTGGCACAAAGTTGTATGATGGCTTCCTATAATGCTTTGTGGATGTTGGTGTCTGAACTTGATTTGCTCTTAAATGAGCACACGTTACAAGGTACAACTGTAACATTAACGTGCATAAAATCTTAATGTGATAACTATTTTGACTGCAAAGTGCCACCGTGACAGAGATTTTGGTAACAGAAGGTAGTCTTTGTGACATTTGCTATCCTTCCTTTAAGGAGATCTGACACTTATCCATGTAACACCCAAGAAAGCATTTGATTATAGGAACACTATAGTGCTGAATCAATACATCTCTATGGGGGAGCGTTCAGCGTCTCCATAGCGGGGAGATGCTGAACGTAGGTGCTGCACACAGCACTGACTTAGGAAGCACCTCTAGTGACCGTCTGAGTGACTGCCACTTGAGGTGTTACTACCCAGCAATGTAAACACTGCCTTTTCTCTGAAATGTCATCGTTTACATGGCTGAGCCTGCAGGGGCATGCTATAGACACCATAACCACTATATTGAGATTTTTCTTTGTATCCATTGTATTGAATGAAGATGACGCAATGTTTTTCATGTGGGCAAAAGGCACCAACTATAATACATTTCATATCTATAGAGCTCAAAGAAACACTCCTATGAAAACAAAACGTATTTTTTTTTTTCCAGTTTACTAGAATCCGTCTTTTCTGACAGCTTTTGCCTGTCACAACCTCTTCTAGGTTTCTGAAATCTATCCATTGAGATCTGCCATAAGATTTTATGTCCTTGTTCTTTGACGTGTCGCTATAGGGAGTTACATATTCCCTATTCGAATTGTTGAATTAACCCCTTATTTTATGTTTTCCTTGTCCTTGGGTGTGAAAAGGTTTCTTTATTGATGACGGAATCGCAGTAAGAACATCCAGACTATGGGAAAGTTCCATATATAGGGGGTTGCAACTATCCATTTTTTTTTTTTAAAGCTACATACACCTACCAATACAAGTTTGTCTCTCCATCAGTGGGAACAGTGATTCCGGCACATTAAGGTGTGCATTCCTCAACAGTGGTTTTTAATCACATGTACGATCTGGTTTCTTTGCTTGTTGCGCTCAATACTTCGTTTTGACCATGGGGTAAAGTTGTAAGTGTATCACAAGCATGATGGCTGACCATATGTACATTAGTTTTTCTGTCGGCTGGTCAATCTGTATTGTTCAATTTTCATGTCCACATCTCTAACCGGAACATTTACTTTGTGTTGACTGATGGTGCATGTAAATTCAATATTTTGTAGCAATGTATTGAACTCATGAATACATTCTACTAATGATTCTTGTGGCCCCCTCAATATAGCAAAACTATATTGTATATAAGTCTCCACCATACTTCATATGTTCTTTGAACAACATTTTGGTGTAAATGTATTTCTTCTCATAGCTTGCTATAAACAGATTTTCACAGGAGGGGGACATATTAGAATCCATCGTATTACCTGCACATTGTGCATAATTGGTATCTTCATACAAAAAGTAATTGTATTCAAGAACTATGCCGAGTAGTTGTAGCAATAAGTTTTGTTGAAGGACTATGCCCAAGAGTTGAAATATGAATTCCTGTTGTCCTGCTGTGTATCTGGTGTCTGGGTAGGTATTGAGTAGAGTTTCTTTACCTATAAAAATTTTTTTTTTTTTTTTACCTAATGAAAACATGTGAGCGTTGAGTGATAATCTCAGTAGCAGTGGTCTAGCAAATTGAACAGGTGAAAGAAACCTTCTGCACTCGAGATTTTGTGGATTATATCTGTCGTAATGCTGTTACAGCCATAATGCTGGTAAAGCATCTGGTAGATGTAGTCCACAACATCTGGAGCTCGAAAGGTTGGTTGCCTTGTACACTAGAGATCTCTCCCATGTAAACACACTCGTAAGTTCTCGTCTTGATACATTCTTTCCAAAAACAAGTTGAGACAAAATTCAGAGTAGCATTTAACATTAAATAACTTATGTTAGTAGTTCAATTTTTATGTTGCAGGCACATATTATTAGTCAGTCTTGGGAGATTCATCATGGGTAATGTCACAAAGGAACGACGAGTAAAAATAGTGGAATTTTATTTTTAAAATGACAGGTCCATTGTTTGGACGCAAAGTGCAAGAAATTCCCAGATAAATTGGCCGCCACCTTTGCCTGTCCTTTCGGCTCCCGATTACTGTGATGTGGTGATATCTGAAGTAGTGGGTACATGCGGACAGCCTGCTTTTACTTGAGCCGCTCCAGGAGAATATCCGTGCAGACATTTGAGTGGCAACACCTCAAAAATGGACTGTTATGAACAATGCAAGCGAAAGAGCTTGACTTTGCAAGGCAGAAAATGGAGCTCATTTAGAAGATGTCATATTTGGTACCTAGTCAAACAAATCTCCATATGTTAAATCAGGGATGCCTAGATGTTGTAGAACTACAATTCCCAGGATCGCATGCCTTTAGAACAGGGGTCCTCAAACTTTGGCCCCCCAGATGTTGCTGAACTACAACTCCCATGATTATTTGAATTACATAGATAGCCAGAGAATCATGGGAGCTGTAGTTCAGCAACATCTGGAGGGGCCAGAGTTTGAGGACCCCTGCTTTAGAATGTATTACAATGACAAAGCATCATGGAAGCTGTAGTTTTAAAACATCTGTGGATCTACCTTGTGTGCATCCATGGGTTAAGCATTCATTGTATCTAATGTAATTGTAATTGGTTCATTAATAAAACAATTAACGTCTCAAACTCTACTCTGAATTTTGTCCAACCTTGTAGTTGGTTAGTGGATCCTTCTGTCTCTACAGAAGGTTGTTTCATACAAAGTTAAACCTTTTTCTCTTAAATCCTCTGTTCCGACTTAGAAGTAACCTTCTTTGCTTTGTCCTCTTTTGAGTTTTTGTCTTTCAATTCCTTTTGGTCTGTTATTAAAAGTGGCCAGTCTGTAATTATGGATTCCCATTAAAGGGATTCATTGATGAAAGGGCATTATTATATCTATTATGGAAGATGGCTCAAGCAAAGTCCTTGAATATTTCAAACATGCATTTGTTCTCATGCAAGTTAGCATTATATTTAGGGCTTGCAAATTCCACTAGTCCACTCGCCTGTGACGAGTAAAATTAAATGAAAAAAATAAGTAAAAACTTTTTTTTCAGATGTGTGGATAGTGAATGGACCTCAAAGGTTTATCCCCACCTGACTATTTTGAATCCGACTCTTAAACATAAAGTGATTTATATAGTTGTTCTACACATGCTTACAATACCGTACCAGGTAACTTGCTATTGCCTCTTAATTTTGCTTTTGTTGAGGCAAGTATTTTTAATAAGAACTTCTATGAAAAGCTGTGCTGTAGGATCAATATTGTTTTCATTTTATCTTTCAAGAATCGAAGAAGGAAATGAAAATCTCAGTTTCCCATTTTTTTGAAAACATGTATTTTGTACGAGAAAATATTTAATGCCCTTTTAACCCCACCCTTTCTTTGCTTTATGTGAATGCCTTGCTAATGAGCTATGAATTCGTGGCTTGCAGTAGACGTCAACACATTTTAACTGATCACACTTTTTTCAAGTGTGAAATATCTTCATTAAATTATTTTACACATTTTTAGTCACTCTGCCTTCTATTCTTATAGTGACAGTATCTTAACTAGAATGTTAGATTTGGTATGCATATACCCTAAATTTTAAGAATTTATTAAAATATATACATCTAACCCTCCCCACTGATCCAGATATATGTATCTCTTGCTCCAGCCCCCCTCACAACTTTTAGTGGTCCCTGGATCGATGCTGCTGACCTTTTCTTCCATTGTGCTGGTCAAGCCAGTTATTGTTCCACGGTGTCTCCATATTGGAGTTTCTAAGATGGTGACCGCTGAAAATTGCTTTGTCTGCCTTTCCAAGAGTGTGAGCATTATGTCGCATGCATGCCCAGTTCGTCAAGTGTCCACACAGTCGATGACGTGTCGATGGAAGTAGACGAGGAAGAACTTGACCACCAATGACAAAAGTTGACAAAGGACATGGAGCTAAACTAAATCTTCACCTGACAACTTTTGTAAACCCACAGGTTGTACCTAAAGAAAAGCAGTACCACTTTACCTCACTTAAACTTTAACTTAAATTTTTTATATATAGTGGGGGGTGTGGCTTGGCTTTGTCAAAACTCTCTTTGCAGGACAATCTATTTGGCTCCACTGATCTAAGCAGGGGTATGCCATGGTCATGTATTGGAAATGCTTAGCCCCGTGGAAAGAATCCTACTGGAGAAACCACTTGTGGTGCGGGCATCTGTTTGATAATGTTCATAACCTTCTAAATTGGTTTGATTAATTACTTTGGGGGGCTCCAGCAGGCTGTGCGAGTTAGGCTGCTGTGAGTATTCCTTTTAATATTTTACACTGTTAAAACATGGATCAATGCAGAAATGTGTTCATATTAAAATTTCATTTAAATCTGTAACTTTCACGCATCAACTGATAAGGGATAATTTATTTGCGTTGAAACTTATAATATTATTATTATTGCCATTTATATAGCGCCAACAGATTCCATAGCACTTTACAATATTATAAGAGTGGGATTTAACTATAAATAGGACAATTCCAAAAAAACTTACGGGAACAATAGGTTGAAGAGGACCCTGCTCAATCAAGCTTACATTCTATAGGAGGTGGGGTGTAAAACACATTAGGACATGAATTTACAGTCAAATAAGGTGGGCTGCCCTTTAGGAGAGAGCAAGAGACAGGTATGTGAGCTAGAGGTTCGTCTTGGAGGCCATAAGCTTTCCTAAAGAGATGGGTTTTAAGGCACTTCTTAAAAGATGCAAAACTAGGGGATAGTCTGATGGCGATAGGCAGGCTATTCCATAGGAAGGGAGCCGCCCGCAAGAAGTCCTGCAAGCGTGAGTTGCCCGTACGGGTGCGGACAACAGACAGGAGGTGGTCACGGGCAGAACGGAGAGACAGAGAAGGCACATACCTATGGATCTGTGAGGAGATATGATGGGCTAGAGTTGTTCAGTGCTTAGAGATTGTATAGAGTATTTAGAAACCATGCTTTAGATATTTCAAAGGATCCAGATTCCCACAGTATAAAGTCCAGTTTAATGATTTCAGAGTATGTAAAGGGCAGTTGGCTGACTCAATCCCAAGTGTGCCCAGAGCTGGGTTAGTCATTACTGCTCTCCAAAGACCTTTTCGAATGGAGAGCAGAGTTGCACTGCTTCACCTGTCATATTGCATTGACCCATGCTGTTATAAAAAGAGTTTAACTAGCTAGGAGGTAAATCCAGTCAAGAAGACTCATTGCTAAGTTATGGGGGGAAAAGGCAGAGCAAAATAATTAACTGTAACAAATTATTCTGCAGTGCTTTACAATATTACAAAAAGAAATGTAAGAATCATTCATTTTATGATCTAAAAATATAGAACCTTATTGCTTCAGTCTCCTGTAATTTAATGAATTGCGTTGGCAAAAGGTCAGTGAATTGTTACATGTTAATGCCGGCCCTGTCACCTTCTGGGGTCTCTGCATATTTTGCAAAGTCACCAGATAGTGTCTGACCCTCTTGTATTTCCGTAACCAAGGAGGCAGGAAAAGATGTTTTTTAATTACTTGATCCTGTCCTCATGGGATGAGTCATCTTTTCCCTACAATTACTCTTAGACTACAACTCTTCAGCTCCTGGCACTAAATCTGCCAAGAGCCATTGTCGGCGTTGTGCAAAAACACTGGATTCTCCACGGTAGGAGCCTTTTCCCCCACTGCCCTCACCACTAGTGACAGCTGAGGGCTTGAGAAAAGGGAGTTCTGCCCTTTGTCAAACATAGGAAAAATACATAAGACAAAGTAGTCCCTACTCTCTTTATATCTTTTGACTGGGTTGGGATTTTACTGACATTTCAACAGTCCTTATGGTGACATACACTTTAACACTGTAAAACAATTCTGTGACACTGTTCTTTTGAACCGTTCTACTCCATACAGTGGAACAACAGTGAACTGCAGGCTCCACCATAACCACTACAGCCTGCTTGGTGTTCATGTAACTAGCTTTATGCTTAAATATGGTCAGATTGTCAAATTATAAATACAACAATGTTTGAAATAATTTATTTGAATGGATTGGAGTGGTAATCATCTTAAAGGACCACTATAGTGCCCTGAGGGTGCCCCCCTCCCGCCAGGCTCTAGGGGGTTTAAGGGGTTAAATTTACCTTTTTCTCCAGCGCCGGGCAGGGAACTCTCTTCCAGATCGCCGTCATCGGCTGCATGCGCGGCAGGAGCTGCGCGCGCATTCAGCCAGTCCATAGGAAAACATTCTCAATGCTTTCCTATGAACACTGGCGTCTTCTCACTGTGAAAATCAGTGAGAAGTGCCTCTAGAGGCTGTCAATGAGGCAACCACTAGAGGCTGGATTAACCCTATTATAAACATAGCAGTTTCTGCTATGTTTATAGAAGAAAGGGTTAATCCAAGCTGGACCTGGCACCCAGACCACTTCATTAAGCTGAAGTGGTCTGGGTGCCTATAGTGGTCCTTTAACTCTCCTCCACCTGAGATGTCATGGAGCTGGTATTGCCTCCTCCAGCGTGAGCCAATCCAAAGCTCCTCTTAGCAAGGCATTAAATCAATGCTTCCCTTTGGAGGATTCCATGTAGCGTGACGGTTTTACTCAGTCGTTGCCGTTGAAGCTCCTCCAGTGTCTGTCAGTGTAACAACCAGTGGAAGGGAGTCTAACCCTTCAAAGTAAACATTGTCTATTCTGCAAAGAGGCAATGTTTTACCTTGAATGGTTAAATTGACAGGACTGTTGCATCCAAGCCACCATTAAGCTAACATAATGAGAAAGGTTTGAGTCGATCTTTTTTTATTTTTTATTTTTTTTTAGAGATTTAAAGAGAGCTGTAATGGTTGTGATGCTTAGAATGCTCATTGTGTTTTGTTTGCCTTACGAATGACAAGTCTGTAGGCTGTTCAATTGACCAGTCAATATTCCACATTATGACTGCATTTCGTATTTCAAATTCAAATCCCTTTGATTTTCAAGTGAAATGCAAAGTGAATTCTAAATTTAAGACCAAAGTATTCAAAGTGGAAAGAGCGGACTTAGAGAAATTTTCCATTTTGGGTGCTTTCACCTTAAATGATACCTGTTGGCACTATAACTATTTCATCTCACTGAATTGGTTATAGTGCTTGGTGACCTCTGGCCATGTCCTTCTATTCAGTGTCAAAAATCCTGGCATCCCACTACAAGATTTATACACATTTCACTCCCTATAGGCTTTATAAGCTACAATTATCACCTACTAATAAGTGTTGGAGGGAATGTGGTAATGTTATGCAATATGCTGTGGACATGCCATAAAATGCAGTCTTACTGGGATTACTTTTTTTTTTTTTTAATTAGACTTATTGATGACTCCATAATTACATTAACGCCTGAACTGTGCTTGTTCAAAATGATGCCTAATAATTTACCTAAACATAAATGCATAATCCTAGGCCATATTCTCATTTCAGCCACTGTGGTTCTTCCACATCAGTGGAAGCTTCCTGTAGTTCCGGATATTAGTGAAATTTTTAACCAATTGTTTGAAAATTATAAGATGTGAAATTGTGCTTAGTTTACCGCCCCATACACTTAATCTTCTTAGATGTGAATGGGATATCAAAGAAAGACATCAGACAGACGTACAACTTCAATTTTTGACCCCACCTGACCAAAATGTTATATATACACTGCTCAAAAAAAATAAAGGGAACACAAAAATAACACATCCTAGATCTAAAAGAGTTAAACATTCTTCTGAAATACTTTGTTCTTTACATAGTTGAATGTGCTGACAACAAAATCAGACGAAAATAAAAAAATGGAAATCAAATTTTTCAACCCATGGAGGTCTGGATTTGGAGTCACACTCAAAATTAAAGTGGAAAAACACACTACAGGTTGATCTAACTTTGAAGCAATATCCTTAAAACAAGTCAGAATGAGGCTCAGTAGTGTGTGGCCTCCACGTGCCTGTATGACCTCCCTACAACGCCTGTGCATGCTCCTGATGAGGTGGCGGATGGTCTCCTGAGGGATCTCCTCCCATACCTGGACTATAGCATCTGCCAACTCCTGGACAGTCTGTGGTGCAACGTGACGTTGGTGGATGGAGAGAGACATGATGTCCCAGATGTGCTCAATTGGATTCAGGTCTGGGGAACGGGCGGGCCAGTCCATAGCATCAATGCCTTCGTCTTGCAGGAACTGCTGACACACTCCAGCCACATGAGGTCTAGCATTGTCTTGCATTAGGAGGAACCCAGGGCCAACCGCACCAGCATATGGTCTCACAAGAGGTCTGAGGATCTCATCTCGGTACCTAATGGCAGTCAGGCTACCTCTGGCGAGCACATGGAGGGCTGTGCGGCCCCCCAAAGAAATGCCACCCCATACCATTACTGACCCACTGCCAAACCGGTTATACTGGAGGATGTTGCAGGCAGCAGAACGTTCTCCATGGCGTCTCCAGACTCACATCTGTCACATGTGCTCAGTGTGAACCTGCTTTCATCTGTGAAGAGCACAGGGCGCCAGTGCGAATTTGCCAATGTTTGTGTTCTCTGGCAAATGCCAAATGTCCTGCACGGTGTTGGGCTGTAAGCACAACCCCCACCTATGGACGTCGGGCCCTCATACCACATTCATGGAGTCTGTTTCTGACCGTTTGAGGAGACACATGCACATTTGTGGCCTGCTGGAGGTCATTTTGCAGGGCTCTGGCATTGCTCCTCCTGTTCCTCCTTGCACAAAGGCGGAGGTAGCGGTCCTGCTGCTGGGTTGATGTCCTCCTCCACGTCTCCTGATGTACTGGCCTGTCTCCTACGCTGACAGACACAGCAAACCTTCTTGCCACAGCTCGTATTGATGTGCCATCCTGGATGAGCTGCACTACCTGAGCCACTTGTGTGGGTTGTAGACTCCGTCTAATGCTACCACTAGAGTGAAAGCACCGCCAGCATTCAAAAGTGACCAAAACATCAGCCAGGAAGCATAGGAACTGAGAAGTGGTCTGTGGTCACCACCTGCAGAACCACTCCTTTATTGGGGGTGTCTTGCTAATTGCCTATAATTTCCACCTGTTGTCTATCCCATTTGCACAACAGCATGTGAAATTGATTGTCACTCAGTGTTGCTTCCTAAGTGGACAGTTTGATTTCACAGAAGTGTGATTGACTTGGAGTTACATTGTGTTGTTTAAGTGTTCCCTTAATTTTTTTTGAGCAATGTACATTGTGATATTTTGTAGCATATGCTACATTTGATTTATTAATAATTTACTACTTCCAGATTTTTATTTATTTACATTATACCCCGGTTTGATTGTTGTATCAATATTTTACTTATCTCATACTGATTGTTCATTTTATTGTCAAATTTGAAATCTTTTAATAAAAAAACTATTTGAAAACTAAGGGTCCCTGGCCACCTATAGCACAGCCCCAACTGGAGGTTTGGCTAAGCCTTAGGTTACTTCCTTCTAGCAATACTAATTCATGTCAGCAGTGGGTGATGTGATGGACTGAAAGCTGACACTCTCAACCAACGAATGCTGCTCAGATTTTTGCCTTCTCATTAGCCCAAGCAGCACAAAGTGGGGGGGCGGCTGCTTGGGGCTCTCGTTTAGCAATATAAACATTAAATAATGTTTTAATTCTGAATGCAAGGACGTCACCAGAGGACTCATTACACTATAACCACTTCAATGAGACAAAGCTTTCATAGTACCTACAGTCCCGCTTTAAATTTTTATACGCTGTCTGCTTTCACTTCATGCTAACCACGCACCACAGGTTTAACAAAGTTATTTACTAAAGCAAAAGTTAAAGCATGCTGCAATGACTATGGTGCCAGGAATTCCCTGGCTCCTTCCCATGATTGTACCTGCATCTGTCAGGGACTCTAGCTATGGTGCTTAGACTGCCCCTTATACAAAGGATACATATATTTTAGGGAAAAAAATGAACTGTAAGAATTCTAAAAACAAGTATTTAAACTTGATTTTCTTTTTTCTTTTCCATTTGGTCTAACTGTACAGTTACTGGCTTAACATGCAACCATTGTCTGTGAGTTTAAGCTGACACTTCAGGCTAGAATAAGCCTCTATTATTTTATTCATGATGATAAAGCATTATATATATATATATATATATATATATATGTATATATATATATATATATATATATAAAAACCATATCTCTGCTGCGAGCTCGCCAGTATGCTATAATCTCTCCCTCAGCATAGTCTTCCCACTAGCAGTTCAGCTACTGTATGTCATCTCCACCTGTTCCATCAAGCTCCTTCATAGAAGCAATAGAATGAAGGAAAGCCAGAGCAAGAGACATTTTTCAAAGCATTTACACTTCTGCTAAAATCCTTGTCCATTAAGTCTACCATGAAGTATATGAAGCAATGGTTCTCTAACCAGCTCTCAATGTTTTAGTAATAACACCTGTGGCACTGGACTGGGTCATGGTTCCTGACAAGTGGTCCTTGATAAATGAGAACCGTTATAGATCTCTCTAGTGGTTATGGTGCCAGGAATGCCCTGGTGCCACCCACTTGGAAATAGTCAAACCGTTTTAGAATGGTATCACCTTTTTACTTCTTTCGACGGAGAGCCAGAAGCCACTAAGCGGGATCTTCTGTTGTCTCTCCTGAGCTAAGAGCCCTGCAGTGATGACCACTCCGATCCAGCATAACGCTAAGCCAAACTATTCCCCCAGCCCTCACTAGGTAGCTCCAACTTTTATCAAGTTTAACACATATTGCCAAAGAATTGGAGTTGTTTAAAGATGGCACGAGGGTTAAAATTATATTTGTTGATTGGACAGTGTAGAAAGTAGGTGATTGTCACTTTGAAATAATATTGGTAACTACAATAAAAAGGGTTAGTTTTTTTTTTTAGAAGGATCTACATCTCTCTGTTAAAGTAGGAGGTGAAGCAGCAGCAAGTGAGTTAATTTTTGTGTTGACTTCTACACATGGTGTTCTGGCCCAGATGGATTTGATAATGTGTTCAAAAGTTGGACATTACGATAATAGATTTTCCCAGCAGTGAGCTGTAAAAAGCCCTTTTGCTTCAGTGTGCGACTTGTTTTCCCATCTGGTACCTTGTTCTTAGAAGAGGATTGACTTGAATATTTCATGACATCTGAATGTTGCCCTGGGAACAAATGTCACCCAATCTCTCTGTCAGATCAGATTCCTTGCTCTATTTATTCCTGAGGCAGGCCTGTTTTCAATGAAAAAATGTAAATTTGTGAACTTAGATTTTTTGGAAAATATGATGCTGCTCTCGTTGCATGTATGAGTAGAAGTGACCTCAGTGAACAGTTTATAATAGTCCTAATTTCTTCATTCTTGGCTCAGAGTTTCCACAAGCACAAAAGTTGAGTGTCTTGTGAGAATACATTATAAAATGAACATTTCTCCCAAGTAGTGTTAAGCTGGAATTAAAGGGACGCTCCAGACAACATAACCAGTACAGCCTGTTTTGTAAATAGGGAGTCAGTGGCTGAGAGGATCAGCCAATCAGCTGGCGCCCTGCCCATCGGCTCCACCTGGGGGGGAATTGAGATAAGTGCTGGTGGAAACTGTGGGGTTAAACCGTTTGAGTAATGTTTTATCTCCTGAAAGTAAGAAGGCTCAGATAACTGCAGATAACTTCACCATAACCATAGATGAAGTTATTATGGTGCATACATTATCTTTTTAAATTAACACTACAGTGTTAGGAATACAAAACAGCATTCCAAACACTATAGTACCCATCTACTGTTACCCGATGAAAATAAGACATCCCCAGAAAATAAACACTAGCTTATTTTTGGTGGATGCTGGTAATATAAACCCTAGTTGAGATTGTCGCTAGTTCACTAATCTATGTTTGGGGAATTTTCTCAGACCATAGATTCGTGGGATTCCATGCACTAGTAAGGTCATCTATTTTCGTGGAAGTTTCCCCAAACATAGATTCGAGGAATTCCATACCCTAGTTAACTGGTCTTTGTTTGGGGGAATTTCCCAGAGTGTAGACCTGCTTTCTTGCACATGCTTGCTACCGACATCCCCCCAAAATAAGCCCTAGTGCGTTTTTTTTTGTTTTGTTTTTTGCAGCAAAAATTAATGACCCGAACTTATTTTCGGGGGGAAACGGTAGGAGGACTGTGTAAGTCATGTCCAGAGGAGGTGTGGCTAGGGTTGCATAGACAGTGTTATTTACTAAAGTAAGAGTTTAAATTGAATGTAAAATTTTAGATCTGAGTAGCCAAAATGAAAGCACAGGTGACAGAGAATTTTTCAAGCTTGTTTTTTTTTTATCTGAAAATTGAAATTCACTATTCAATTTTCAGCAGTGGGACTGCCGGAGTATAATCTATACATCAAACCCACATTATTAAGCTAAAATTGTTTTGGTGCTTAGGGGACACCCAGTTAATAACTAAATGACCTCGGCACTGTTTCTCATTTCATAAAAGTACCCCATAATTATAGGCTGCTAGCAAGTTGGTTTCTTGATTACTACTGTTCATACAACAATACATAAATGAATGTATAACACTCTAGTGTTTCTTTAACTGCAGACGCCTGCTATATTCATCTAGCTCTGTGTTTGCTTTCGTACATCCTTGTTTTGAATGTCTAAACCTATGTTTAGCATATGTTGAGTATTTTTCTAGTCTGTTTAGAAATGGAATAAAAGCCCCAGTTGCGTGATCTTTTACTAATTGATATTTTTTGTCTTGCAGGCAAAGTACATCTCTCATTGCATCGATGAGATCAAACAGGAACTAAAGCAGGATAATATAGCGGTGAAAGCCAATGCTGTCTGCAAGCTGACATACGTGAGTCTTGGCCATCCTGTTATTTTCTTGTAGTGATTGCTATCATTACTGCCCTGTCTGGATCATAGCAGAAACATCTGAAAGGTTCTTTTTCCACTCTTATTTTTTTTTATTTTTTTATTTTTAATGGGGAGCTACTGATAGCCTGAGAGTGTCTGGTGACGTTCTCAGCTTATCAGAAGGCACCCAGTCCGAGGCTTCCTGATTGAATCCTGGGACATTGAGTAAAAATAAAGCTTCAAGCAATCTGGCGTACGCTTGAAGACTTTGGGGTTCGTTAATGGTTTAACTTCAGGTAAGCTGACACCCAGAACCTCCTCACACCATAACACCTTAATTACAATGATTAAGGTGCCGGAGTGGTCCTTTAATGTTGATTTCTGTTGTACACTAGGATTACGGAATAATGCCCATTGCGTCAATAACGAGCCAGATAATTGGGTAATTCCAAAATGAGTGTGAATCTATTAGCGGCAAAACTTTTATTGCACACATTTCTGGCACTGATAGACCTCTCGTATGAACAACATTCAATGACTTGTATAGAGGCAGTTGAAATATTGTAAGATAGTGTTGTTGTTTTTTTGTTTTGTTTTTTTAAACGGAAGGCTGCTATTCAGTCAAATTCATATTGTGCCACTGTTTTCTTTAATATCATTCCTACTGCATAATTACATTGACACACAGAGCAGGGAATTTGACCATGGGTGCCGTCCTGGGGGGGAACAGCTGCCTATTAGAACAGGCTATTTTGCTAGTCTAGCTTCTTGTGACCTGAATCATTCACGTGACTTATATGAACTGTTTTAAGCACCACTGTAGTTTAATCCTGTTGCCTAGCTTGTCATTCCTGTCCCTTTTCATCTCTCCTGGTTATGTAACTCTAACCTTTTAAAGGGACACTCCAGTCCCCCTAAAGCACTTTATCTTAGTAAAGTGCTTTAGGGATTACCTGCTTGTCCCCTCGCCTTATTTTCTACAAATAACAATTTAAGCAGAGAACTTGGACATTTTATAAATCCCTGTGTAATGCCTCCTGGCTGACCGGACGAGAGCAGGAGGGTTTCCTGCCTCCCTCCATTTGAACTATAGTTTAAAGTGGAAGTGAGTGCATTGGTTCTAATGCTTCTCTATAAGACGTGTTATCATATTGCGGTGATTGCTGAGCATGTGCCCTGTCTTTTTTTTTGTGTTTTTGATACAAGTCATCAGTAATGTGTCTTGAAAGGATTTCTTCCACTCCTCCCCAGCACCATACCCAGTTCTAATTCAGTGGTTCTCAAACCAGTCCTCAAGACCCACCAACAGTCCAGGTTTTGTTAGTATCTCCATTGGAATAAAACAGGGAAATACATAAATCCTGGACTGTTGGTGGGCCATGAGGACTGGTTTGAGAACCACTGATCTAACTGAATTGGTTATGGTTCCTGAAGACCTCTGTTTTCATTCCACCATCCAACATGAAACCATTCTTAAACAACTTGACATTGAATGGTCCTCCGCCAGCCCTACCCCTTTCTGCTGCTCAGGCTAATGTAAGTGTGTGTTCAGCATATCAATGGCCTCCAGTGCTGGTGTAAATTTATATGGATAATGCAGCTATACATCCAACAGGGGGAAGAGCCACAGACAGCCAGGAAGCTTTATGTTGAGTGTCAAACTGATTGAAAATAGTTTCACACTAAAAAGTACGATGGTGCCAAGACTCGGGCATCATAACCACTTCTGTGAAATGAAGAGGTTTATCTTCACTGTCCATTTGAATATCTGTGGGCAATGTTAATTTGAGGTGGCATTTTCATTTTTGAAAAATGTGTTTACATTGTGAACTGGTTGTAACCACTGAATTTGTTGACCATTCCGTGTGCATTCCACCCACTTTTTAAATTTTTTTATTTTTTTTTTAAATTAGTTTTGCTTTACTGATAACACAATGCTACAGGAATCATACTTATCTAGAAGGGCATTAGTTCATGTGGGTATGAATACTTTTGTTGCACTAAGCATCTGTTTTTAATAATTCTACCCCAACCCCAGCAAGGCAGTTACACCAAATTAACCCAAATCCTATCTGTAATACCCCAAGTTATCACTTGGGTTCACTAGAGCCGAGACAGATCTGATTAATATTTTAAAGTTTGAAGAAAAAAAAAATCTCCATTCATTTGTTTTACTGTTTAAAGTAACTATTTAGTAGGTATACCCCTCCCCTTCTCGGTAAAAAAAACAAAGCATGCTTGTGTTTATTTTTCTGCATTTTTTGTAGCCCTGCTATCGGCAGCTGATGCAAACCATCCCCTCTTTCTCCGACAGACTTTCAGTATGTGCCAGGGAATGAATCGGTCAGATGCTCCTCATTGAAGAGCCTCTGTGCTGGATCTCCAGTGCTTCTCATAGAAATGGGAGGGAGGGGGGCAGAAGCATTAGGCACATTCACAGTCTTCATGAGGAGGCTGAAAGTGAACATGTGAAAAAAGCTGAAGGTCTTTCGGACAAATGTAAACATGAGCAATTCTCAGACACCTACAAATGTCTAGCAGAGCTTGCAGATCTTGCCCTACAAATCCAATCAATGATGAGCATCTCAACATATGATCCTTCTGTACTTTTTGTTTTATCAGAGCTCTCTTTTCATGTCACAGGTTGGAATATCCCTTGCATGAATTAAAACTAATGCTTCTCATGAAGCATTGGTTTTAATGCTTCTCTATAAGATGTGTGATCATATCACGGTGATAGCTGAGCATGTGCCCTGTCTGTGTTTTTTTGTTGTTGTTTTTTTCCGTTTTGTTTTTGGTAAAAGTCCTCAGTAGTGTGTCTTGAAAGGATTTCTCCCACTCCTTCCCAGCACCATACCTAGTTCATCTAATTTAAGGTTAAGGTTTACATGGCTGATCTGTGAATCTGGCACAAAAATGGTTAAATATTCTTGTCCATTATTAGTTTAAAAATTATATACACCAAAAAGGCACTTCAATCTGTGTTATAAAAGGTGCACTCCAAGCATCATATGCACAACAGCCTGCTGAATTTCCTGAGACTCTGAGTAATTTATCAAACCATTTTTAGAACGATTGATTGAATAACTTACCAGGGAGCCTGTCGCCACCACTCTGCTTCTCCTGCCAATTGTCTTTGCAGAGTAGGCCCAATAGGGGTATTCGTTCTTTAGCTGAGAGTGCTCACCTGACTATTTCAGACAAGGAAAGCAGCTCTACCAGGCATTTGCATCTTCTTTTCCAGCAGGAGAAATTGGATAGCTCCGTAGAATAAAGCAGGATCACACGTGTTTGCTGAATAAAATCAGCCGAACGTTCTTAAAGGAACACTATATATAGTGTTGGGAATAACATGTATTCCTGATACTATAGTGTTGAAGTGGCTGTTTAGGTGAATAGCCCTGTCTCTCTGCAGTTAAAAGCTTATTTTACTTTTTTTTTTTTTTTTCAACTCTGCGCTGGTCTCACGGAGGCTGGCTCCGCCTCAACCTTGACAATCTCAGCCAATCCAATGCTTTCCCATTGGAAATCATTGCAGGAGACTATTGCGCATGCACAGCTGCTCCAGTTTGAATCAATGCATATCTATGGAGAATGTTCGGCGTCTGCATGCAAAGTGTGGAGATGCTGAAGGCCAGTGCTGCACACTGCAGAACTGACACAGGAAGCACCTCTAGTGGCTGCCTTAGTAACTACCACTAGAGGTGTTGCTAGCCAGCAATGTGAAAACAGTGTTAATAGTGCTAACACTGTACATTAAGCTGTAGTGGTTCTGGTGGCTATAGTGTCCCTTAAACCAATTAGTGGGGTCCTGCATCCACTGTGCTTTATCTACAGAGACTGGATGTGGATCGGGCACCCAGTGCGAAATTGTGCCAGGGCACTTCTGGCTCCGTAACCACTATAGTGCGTTGTAGTGGTCATGGAGCTTGTAGCGTTCCTTTTAATAAAAATAAACTTGGGCCTGCTGCTACACACACTCTCTACTTCTATCTGCCTGTTTGCATCTTTCGCTCTGACATTATTTATTCCTTTCCCCCCAAGCCATGTCAAAATACGAAAGTGTGAATTGCATGCAGGAACAAGTTGATCCGAAAGTTGCTGTGAATCCGATGCTTCTGTGTTTGTTAGGTTTACATTGATTACTTAGAATGTTTTTTTTTTTAATTTTTTTTTAATCCTAACAGTTACAAATGCTGGGCTACGATATTAGTTGGGCTGCCTTCAATATCATCGAAGTGATGAGCGCCTCCAAGTTTACATTTAAAGTAAGTGTCTAGAACAGAATTTTGTCACAGACACAGAGATCCATGATATATGTCGGCCTCGGCTGCAAAATCATAACCACACGTCTTTCTGTTTTCCAGAGGATTGGTTATTTAGCTGCATCTCAGTGCTTTCATGAAGCGACAGATGTCATCATGCTGACCACAAACCAAATTAGGAAGGTGAGTGTTGCACGCATCTAGTAGTTTCTATAGTTTTTATATATATATATATATATATATGTGTGTGTATATATATATATATAATATTTTTTTTTATTATGTTATGTTAAGTATTTGCAGATAAATATTTTCATGTTGGCTTAGTTTACTGTTACTGTGTTACCCTTTAGTATTCTTGACAAAGAGAATGCTAAGTTTTCCCGATTTCTCTTTACAGGACCTGAGCAGCCCCAATCAATATGATACAGGTGTGGCTCTCACCGGTTTGTCCTGTTTCGTCACTCCTGATCTGGCCAGGGACTTGGCTAATGACATTATGACACTGGTAAGTTTGCGGTTAGCCTTGCAGTGTCCTCACTTCAATGAATTTAGTAAAGGAACATGTCCGTTATTGACACTGTTCTGAGTGTATTTTCATTCATGTACTTATTATACAAGATGTTGCCCAAATTCTGTTGTAGTTTCTTTTGAATTGTGGATGGACTCCGTGCACACTAACTTTTTATGAAACCTAGGTTTCTCTGACATTAATAAGTTCAAGTTCAATTTTTCATTTATTTACATTTCTGGTTTCGATCCATTTAAAAAAAGGCACCTCGTCAATTTTATTTTATTTATTTCATGATATTAATTTTGATTCCACAATGGTGAGTTAGAACAATCTCAGATCAGGAAGCTATCTTTGGCAATGTGAAAAATAAAATGAAATGTTGAAGTCAACATCTCTTTATTTTGCAACTGAGCGCATCCATCTTACCTTTTTATCAATTGTCATAAGCTACGCACCAGGCAGTCAACATCGAGAAAACCTACACAGAAATTAAATAATGTTTCTACTTTACCCTGGCTGTGTGTGGACTAAACTGGCTTGTGACAGAGACCCTGAGTGCAGCATGATTCTTGCTCTCTCGCTATTCCCCTACCCCCTCCCCCCCCATTCTGCAATGCTAGTTCTCCATAATTGGCAAACCGTAGATGTTGTAATATCAATTGAATAAAGTAGCAACTGGGCAATGTGAGCTATTTCAAAGTGAAATAAGGATGATACATAATTAAGGCTTAAAGAAACACTACAGCATTAGGAATACAAAAATAGCACATGAAAAATGTTACCACGCGTTATAGATGTTTTTTTTAAAAAAAAAATTCATATGATCGTTCCCCTAAAACATTTTTTTTTTTTAAATTCATTTCTGTTTTGTACCTTTCAGATGTCCCACACAAAGCCTTACATAAGAAAAAAATCAGTTCTGATTATGTACAAAGTTTTCCTGAAATACCCAGAGTCCCTTCGTCCAGCCTTCCCACGCCTTAAAGAGAAGCTGGAAGACCCTGATCCAGGTAAGCATCAGAAATCTCAAAACACGAGTAATCATTCAGCTGCCAAAACAATCCTGAAAATATGACTCTCTTGTTTCTACATTTCCAGGGGTGCAGTCTGCAGCTGTAAATGTCATCTGTGAACTTGCCCGCCGGAACCCTAAAAACTACCTGTCACTGGCCCCACTGTTTTTCAAGCTGATGACCTCATCGACCAACAACTGGGTTCTCATTAAAATAATCAAGCTGGTAAGTGGAGGACTAGTGTATTGTTCCTCATTAGCAGTTTCCTTGAAGTGTTACATTCACAGCTCACATTAAGCGTGTGACTAAAAATGAAACCACATGTACAGATTTTGCAGGTGTTAGCGTGAGAGAGATTTAGACTTATTTTAACTCGTTTGATGAAACTTGGTTTCTAAACCTTGTTTTTATGCAGTATACAAACCGTATTTTATATATAAATTCTGTTACTTTGGTTTTATTTATTAAAAGCAGAAGTCATTCCTAGAATGTGCACTTGATTTGCACTGCACTGCTATATAATATACACTAGTAGACGTTGTTGTTTGGCATTCAGTAACTTTGTCTGCAATTTAATTCCTTTTTGTTTTTGTGCATCAACAAAATGAGCCTTAATTGATCAATTACAACCTTTTGGTTTTCTTCTTACCGAGTTAATAATGACTCTCTCATACTGTAGTTTGGGGCACTTACTCCCTTGGAGCCAAGGTTGGGGAAGAAACTGATTGAACCTCTCACAAACCTGATACACAGGTAAAATTATGTAAACACGGTCTCTGCTTATCTGTCTATATTCAGCTATAAATACAATCCAATAGAGCACACTCAATAAGTTTAGCTAAAGTTCCAATAGAATTCAATGAATACAAATAGATAATCTAGAAAAAAAATATATAAACCGCGCATAGCGTAAAACTGTATAGTAAGTACAATTTAAGGTAGAGGGTGGAAAAAACTCACATGATATTTTGGCGCTTTATGAATGCCAGTAATAAATAAATAAATGATGCACAGCCGTACCAGGCTCTGTCTAAGAAGGCCCTTGGTAGATTCACAGCAGCCACACAACAAAGATCCAGATGTATAAAAAATGTTTATTAAAGTAGTAAATAAGAATAAAAAAAATTGTATGTAAAAAGAAATGTATGTGTATATACATATTAATGCTATAAATTAAGAACAGGATAATATGCTAAATATATGCAAAGTAAAAAAAATATATAAAATAGTCCGAAGTATTGTAGGACCTTATCACAGGCAATGCCAAACCCTGATGAAACTGTCTCTCAGCAGACGTGTTTCGACCACAGCAAGGTCTTCTTCAAGGTGCTATAGATTCTTCATGGATCTTTCGGGTTTTTATACCTCACAAAGGTTTCATCTCTGATCACTGCGTCCCCTTGCAGCAATTACCTTCTGGCGCATTTGGACACTGATGTCCCTTCCGATACCTGCGTGTGACATCACTCCTGTACGAGCGATCTGCCCACAGTTAGTCAAGGGATTCCATAGTAATTCAGGGCATAAGAGTTTGTCCGACACGGAGAGTAATCCATCTTCTAAGTTGCTGATCAATTCTTAAAAACTAATATAAATCATTGAGAATTAACCCAATGGCCTTGTAAGAATAAAAAAAAAACAGTCTTGTATTCAGAATAGAAATTATACATATACAAAGGCAGTGTATACAAGTCCATAAGTTTACTAATATAGTGTATACTTATTGAGTGTGCTTTATTAGAGGGTTTTTAATTGATGTATATTGTGTTGTGTTGGAGGAGCACATTATACCTTCTACACACACAGGGCACCGACATTGTTAATTTTTTAATCTTTTTAAAGCGTCTAGACATGTTTTTATGGTTATCTATCTTAATTATGTGTTAATATAATCTGGCTAAATTGTAGGGTAATCGACTTTACACATATATTGATAGTGTCTCTGCACACAAAACATGTAGATTGTAAACCATAGCTCTAAAGATTTAGGAGCTTTTTTCCACTGTATGTCTGTTTACATTATTTTAAATTTTTGAAAAAAAAGATATATATTTTTTTAAACTTGGAAAGAGCATTGGTGAGAATATTTCATGAACACATATTCTTCTGTATTTTTCGATTACATTGTAGGGTAACTTAACGATGATCATTCTGTTTAATCAGTCATCCAGATTACAATTCACACACCAGATGTCTGCTGATTATGTTATACTGATGTATTGAAAACCTTTTATATGCTCAATGCTGCATATTAGAACAATAACCTCTTATGGACTTATAATGGCCCTTGTAGCCAGAACAGTCTGTTTTTTAAGTATGCAAATTCTGAAATGGAATAAATCGCTAAATTAACTACACAGCTGCGTGTGTAATAAGTGTTACAGTACAATGTAATAGTTTAGTCCTTAAAGAGATACTCCGCTACCCAAATGAAAAATAAATAAATTTGCTGTTTAGTAGATATACACCCAATGAAAACATGCATGAATTTAATTATGCATTTTGTTCCACTGGGGTTATATCCTAAAAACAGCTTGCCAAAGCTGCAGTTAATTTACCTAAAGTCTTTGCATTGCTCATCTTCTAACCCCGCCCAGACTTTGTGGCTGTCCAATCACACACTTCCCCAAATGCAGCTCAATGAGAAGGCGGGTGCTCTGGGCAATTGCCTGTCTCCTGAATTAAGCTCCACTGAGCTAAACAAACCAGGAAGTAACAGGACCTGTTGTCTGCTTGAAAGTCAATGGGTGTAACCAGGTTCATTTATAAAAGTGCAAATTTCTATTGCAAAAATAGAACACTCTCTTCACACACATAGTATTTCATCAAGTTAAAGTGCTTAAGGGATATGTAGTATATCTTAAAGTAAATGTGTGTTGTATTGCTTTCATTATACAGAGGAGGTTCAAATTTAAATATTACACCTTTGTCGGGTTACATTTGGCTTAAAGAAACCCTATTGTGTAAGGAATACAGTTTTGTCATTATTTCAGAAATGACATGGGTACATTCAAGGAGCGTTCAAAGAATCATGTCTTCTGCTACTTCTGTATATTAATCCCTCAGTGGCTATGGTGTTAGAAAGCAGTCTATGGAAACAGATTTCTAAATCATTGCCTTCCCCTTATTTTCATCTTGATTTGCAGAGCCTGGGCTCCGCCCTCTACCAAGTGATGTCATATGGGGAAGTCTAGCTTTCCTACTGAATCATACAAGTACTTGGAAGGCATGAGCCCCCCACCTCCCCCCTTTTTTTTTTTTACCATGCAATCAAATCAATACTAATTAGCATTTATTAAATTGTGTAAAATATTTAGAACCAACGATTGAGTCTTTCTCGAGCTGTGCACAGTGCTTATGATAAGTGCAAGCTTACGACACAGTTTTTGCTCATTATTGAGGCTGACCATCTGAGCAGGGTGTGTTCCCACGCCATATGAATATAGTTCAGTGGGAAAAGCTAGAGATCTCCATCTGGAGTTATGTTTTTGTAATCTGTACAATAAGTTGTTGGGCATAACCTATAACTACTAATACTACTATCAGTTTTATGTCAAAACAACTTTATTTTAGGAATGTGTTTCATTCAGTTTATTGCCCACTGTATTCTACGAAAGGATTATGGACTATGGGGCAAACCACTCGTATGACGATCCTTTGTGTTTTCTCTTGATTGTGCAGAGCAGGGGTCCTCAAATTCCGGCCCCCCAGATGTTGCTGAACTATCTTTGAATTACATAGATAGCCAGAGAATCATGGAAGTTGTAGTTCAGCAACATCTGTGGGGCCGGAGTTTGAGGACCCCTGGTGCAGAAGAAAGAAAAATCCCATCCATTCTCTTTCCATGTGTACCTTGTTTGCAGTGAACCTTGGTTCCATAAGTGAATCTTCATTTACGTGTTTTCTTGATAACTGCCTATTTTGTTTCTTACAGCACATCTGCAATGTCTCTCCTGTATGAATGTGTGAATACCGTTATAGTAGGTAAGTGACTGTTTTTGGCTTGTTTGAGCAATCACAGCAGATTTTCCCCCCCTCCCTTCAACATCCATTTGTATTAAATGGTAAAAAGCTTGAGCATACCTTGTTCCCAATCATGCCTTTGTATTTTAAATGTAGTTAATGTACCATTTTGTAATTTGATATTGGTTATGTTATCACTCAGCAGTTTAATTGCTTTTCCAACAGTATTGATCTCGCTGTCATCAGGAATGCCCAACCACAGCGCCAGTATTCAGGTACTGTAATCTCTCTCTATTTCACTTCTGCTCCGTCTAAAATAAGAATAAAAAAAAATAACACACAAATTGTCTTTTCTTCTTCCAGCTGTGTGTGCAAAAGTTACGAATTCTGATTGAAGATTCTGACCAAAATTGTGAGTGAAATCATCAGGGTCCTCAACTTTTGCAATAAGTAAGGAGGTATTCTCATGGTGGCACATATTATAATTTAATTTTTTTTTTTCCTGTTACCATTTTCATTTTCCATAGTAAAGTATCTGGGCTTGCTAGCCATGTCCAAGATCCTGAAGACTCACCCAAAGTCTGTCCAGTCTCACAAGGATCTAATCTTGCAGTGTTTGGATGACAAGGATGAGTCAATCAGGCTTCGAGCATTGGATTTGTTGTACGGAATGGTAAGGGGAGACCATGTTTCTGCTGTAGAGCTATTGTGTACTCAAGGATTAGGTGCATTTATTAGAACACCCTCTGAATTGGAAATATACATGCTGTCTACTTATTCACTCTTTTTTCTTTTGCCTGTTACTGCACACTGTTAGTCTGTGGGAGATCTAAAATTGTGGAAGCTAGAGGATATGTGTCCCTCAAATTATTAGCAGCACAGATTAATTTCCCCACTCGTACAGTCATCCTGGGGCAAATGTGTGCAGGGCTGACAATGCTGGTCATACACTGAGTCAAACCTTGCATGTGGTCTTGAATGGCCTGAATTGTATTACAATTGTAGCAAGATCCCTTTTAAATAAATAATTGTGCTGGTCTTTCCAACAGTCCTTCTGACAGAACTGCACTTTTGTGTAATAGCGAGGGCTATACCTAAATAAGTCTTGCTGTCAATTCATGCAATGTGAAATACACACACATATATTCGGAATACGTATTCATTTTTATGTGGGTGTATCTCACATTGTGCAGTAGTTGTAGATTATTTTTTTTGTCTGTGTATTAAGCAGTGTACACGAATTGCCGCAGGAATATTTTTTTATTTTTCCTTTTCTGAATCTGACACAGTAATATCAGTTTATTATTAGCAAGTACCTTAAAATCAGTTCCCATAATGTATTTTAATTTTATTGTTCAAACAATAACAATATCATGTTAGTCATTTTTTTTCAGTTGCTAAAGTCTGTTCTGCCATGTTAACCTAGTTGGTCAAGTAATTACAAAGTCTTTCATATTGTTCAAATCAATCTGTAGGGATGTGCAGTTTTTTCCCACATTTTTTTTTTTTTTTGGCCAATGAAAAATAAAAGCGATAGGCACTGCTTGTCAGATGATTGGAATCCATTCTTTACTGTGCATTAACAGCTAGTAAAGTTTGTGAATATGCTTTCCAATACATGCTTTCTGATAAAAACACTATTATGTAAGTGATTAGCTCTCCTACAGATACATACATGTGCAATATCCACCATCTTCTAAGGTAAAACTCACAAACCTTAATACAATGAAATGGAAATTAAAATATATGTGTATGTCACTTTAAATATCACGCAAGTGAAAAGTAATGAAAAATATACTGATATAAATATTCGTTTGATAAAGACATTCTCCAATGCTTTATCACTGTCTTTTTTTTTTTTTTTTTTAAAGTATGTTAAAGTACAAAGAAATCCATACACTTAGAAACAGATAAGCGCTAAACAAGCTCCTTCTGGCCCCGTGTGATGAACTGCAAAAGTCCTTACAAGCAGTAAGCACAGATTTAAATCCACAGTTTCCACTATTAACTGTTTTAAAACCACGGCATCAACACTCCTTAAGCAGCCACCAATACTGAAAGATCACTGTTGCCAAATATGACTGGATTTGTCAGATTTTGCAACGAGGTCATTTTATACAAAATTAAGCACCTGCACTCAAACTCCCACTACTTCTCAGCTGCAGCAATGTCTATTGTACACAGCCCCAACGCATAAAATAAAAACCAAAGAAAAGAGTTACTTGCGCACTATTCCATATCTCTATGTCTTTTTAAATAACTGGAGGTTTATTTTAGTATCACTCTAATGGCCATTTAAGTGTAAGCACACCTGCCACATCATAGGAAAACCTCTTTGAGTCCTACACAAACAATTCACCTTTCTTCTTTCAGCTTAAAGGTAAAATCTCTGAGATAGAAATGGTTATTTTTTTGTGGGGGAGGGGATTGCAAGTATTTTATGCTTCTGTCCAACATTAGTGGAAGTTTGAGTGCAGGGCTTAATTTTGTATGTTTGCTTTTTGTATTAAACAGCCATGTTAAAATGCTGCAGCACACCCAATGTGTTTCTTAAGGGTTAATAAGTGTGACAGGGTTTAGAAAAATACCCCTCTCTAGAGACTTCACCTTTAAGCTGAAGAAGCCAGGTGAATTGTTAGTGTAGGACTCACGTAAGGTGTTTTGCCTTGATGTGGTAGGTGAGCTTACACTGAAATGGCCATTCTAGTAATACCAAAAAAACTCTGGTTATTTAAATGTTCGTAGGGATTTGGGATAGTGCACAAGTAACTATTTTCTTTAGAGATCTTTCCTGTGCTGCCCAATCTCTCTTAAACAACCTTAAAAAGCCTCACAAAAATCTGACTGCCTGTCACTCGGAACTACGTGTCTCTGGGTGTCGGGTAATAAGAGTTTCACATCCTTGGTATATCTAATTGACATAGTGAGTTCGTAGTCATATCAATTGATCAGTTCCACAATAGAACACCACCCCCAAATCAGTGGAGTTTGTGATAAAAAAAGGGAAAAAGAAATCGGACGTGAAGTTCATATATACTGATTTTATATTGTCTTCCACCTATCATTAATAAAAATTCACACTTTTTTTTTGCCAACTTTTAGAGTATGGTCTAATATTATTTATGGTGCATATATATTACTAAATTTTCACTTGGTGCTATTGATCTTGTCGATTCATGTAGGTGTCCAAGAAGAACCTGATGGAAATTGTTAAAAAGTTGATGATCCACGTTGACAAAGCAGAAGGCACTGCCTACAGGGACGAGTTACTTACCAAGATCATTGACATCTGCAGTCAGTCTAACTACCAGTACATCACTAACTTTGAATGGTGGGTGCTGAGTCCTTTCCTACTAGTCTGTAAAGCATAACACTGCACATAAATTTCTTTCAAAAACCCAAAAAATCTCTACCATGTTTCATTTTGTTGTATTCCTGCAAAAACTTTGTTTCTTATAAGCTTATTAGAAAGTACTGTAAACAAAAATAGAAATTTGCCACAAATGTTGATACGTTGATATTTTAGGTACATAAGCATTCTTGTGGAGCTGACGCGTCTGGAAGGGACTCGCCACGGCCATTTAATAGCAGCTCAGATGCTGGATGTGGCTATCCGAGTGAAAGCCATCCGCATGTTTGCGGTGTCTCAGATGGCCACACTGCTGGACAACGCACATCTACTCGCCAGCAATACACAGCGCAATGGCATCTGTGAGGTTCTGTATGCGGCTGCATGGATCTGTGGAGAGTTTGCAGAGTAAGTATTGGGTCCTTTTTTTTTTTTTCTTTCTTTTTTTTTTTATAACATTTCTTATGTTATAGAATTGTAGAATGGAATTTATAGGTGCTATATAAAGAATAATGTTGATAAAGTCCACCTCCATTTTAGCACACCATGTGTTCTTCTTATGAACTGTCTTAATGCTTTATTGCTATGTTATCTGTCATAAATGTAAAAGTGAAGTTATTTGAGGTTCTAAGCCTTGTCCTTCCTATCGAAACCTTTAGACAACTGCCAGAGCCACACCAGACACTGGAGGCAATGCTGAGACCGAAAGTTACTACCCTGCCGGGGCACATCCAAGCGGTGTATGTGCAGAATGTAGTTAAATTATATTCCTGCATACTACAGCGTAAGGAGCAGGACGGAGATCAGGAGGCAGCGCAGGAGATCACACAACTTATGATCGATCGGCTTCCTCAGTTTGTTCAGAGCGCTGATCTGGAAGTACAGGAGAGGGTAAGTCACTAAGGCCTCGATTTCAGTCTTTTAGATAAACTTCAGAAATGTTCACAATCGGTTAGATAAACTTTTCAAATGATTTATCAACAAATAAAAAAAACATTCTAACACATTGTAGTTATTTGAAAAGCTTATCCAAAAGAATTAAAAATTGAGGCTCACTGAAGCAAATTATTGCATACCCATCACCATATCAATCTGAATTTTAAAGGGTAACTGTTATACCGGGTGGGCCGAAATTCAGAGTAGGATTTGACCGGTAAATAACTTACTTGTTAGAGGTTCATTTTTATTTATTTTTTTTTAGTCTTGAGAGATTTATAATAATAAACAACAATTGAAAATATTGGCGTTACATTTTCAAAATGGCAGGTGTATGATTGACAATTGGTTACGTACTGTAGTGGAGAATGATCCTGAAATGTGGTTTCAATAGTAAGGGGCTACTGCCCATATAGCTAGGACAACAAGGGAACTCCTAAGACAACTGTTGAGGTAGTGAAAAATTTTGAGACATTCCCAGATTAATTGGCCGCCACTTTTGCCCAACCTTTAGGCCCCTGATTATGATGTCATCTTTCTTACCCAGTCAAAGGAATCTCATACGTTACGCATTCATTGTATGTAATATCATTAAAACGTGTTCATTAATAAAAAAAAGTTATTGACTCCTCAAACCCTATTCTGAATTTTGGCCCAGCCTGTAATAATAATATAGATTTTTGTTTTACAACCCTTTTAGTACAGTAAATGTTATTATGGTGCTTTCTGATAACAGGAAAACGTGAATAGAAAATCTGTTTTTCTGCTAACTGCACAAAGTAATTAGTGCTGCCATTATTAACATTAAAACGTTAGTGCTACTTACACAAGTCTTTGATTTCCTCTATTCTTTAAAGTGATGTCCGCTCATACAGCTGAGGTCACATTGACTCGAGTGGGAGTATATATGTATGTGTACATATAGAGGTGGGGGGGTGTATGTGTATATATGTGTGTAATATAATATATATATATGTGTGTGTATATGTATATATATATTAAAAAAGTAAAGGGAGCACACTAAGACTACTTCTGATCATCTCATTGGTAAGATCTATTTCACTTATATGTATATATTGTTGTAGACATTAATGTTTCACTGTGATCTTGATAAAGACCCCAGGAGGGTCGAAACGTCGATTTTCTGTACTCTGCACAGGACATGTATTATTTTATAATACAGTAAATACTGTTTTTTTTTTCCACTCAGAAGTAGTCCTAGTGTGCTCCCTTTACTTTCTATATATTTTACGCGTGATTGCACCTAGGCAATTTTTAATCTGTTTAATTAAGTTCTAGGAGGAGTGCCTTGCTTACCTATTTTTATATATATATATATATATATATATATATATATATATATATATATACACACACACACACACACACACACACACACACACACACACACACACACACACACACACACACACACACACACACACACACACACACACACACACACACACACACACACACACACACACACACACACACACACACACACACACACACACACACACACACACACACACACACACACACACACACACACACACACACACACACACACACACACACACACACACACACACACACACACACACACACACACACACACACACACACACACACACACACACACACCCCCCCCTCTCTAGAGATTTTGCCTTTAAGCTGAAAGAAGCAAGGCGAGTTGTTAGTGTAGGACTCACTTAAGATGTACCAAATGATACAAAAAACCTCCAGATATTTAAATGTTTGTAGGGATTTGGGATAGTGCTCAAATAACTATTTTATTTTTATTTTTTAGTATATATTAACCAAAGTAATTTTATTTATTTAATACTTTTCGTATAAGTGAAATATCTGCACTAACTAACAAGGACATATTTTAAAGGAACTCTTTAGCTATACAATCCTGTTTTCATAATGCCAGAGTGTTGTTATAACTATTTAGATTATTTCCTAGCTCAGGGGTGCCCAAAAGGTAGATCCCCAGATGTTTTAAAACTACACTTACCATGATGCTTTGTCATACTAAAGGCATTCTTAAGACTTGTAAAGCATCATGGGAGTTTTAGTTCTACAGCATCTGGAATCTAACTTTTGGGCACCCCTGTGCTAGATTATATGCCCCCAGCGCACGTCATGGTCATCCTGCCTCAGCTGGCTGACATTATTATTACTAATAATTTCAACCAATCCAATGTTTCTCAATAGGGAAGCACGGAGAGTCTAGTGCGCTGCACCAGTTTGCATCTCCTCATTAAGATACATTGATTCAATGCATCACTATGAGGAGTGCATGGCGTCTTCTTGAAAAACGGGGACACAGAATGCTATTCCTGCAATTTTTGCAGGACCACATCCAGGAAGTGCCTTTAGTGGCTCTCTGAGTGACTGCAAGTAGAGGTGGAAACATACATTCCCTTAAAAATCTGTATTTACCTAGAACCTCTATTCATATTCAAAAAGGGACATTCTCCCTTATCATCTCACCTGCACCTATGCTAGATTACTTTCATGACAATCACAACACTTTAGCTAATAACCTGCTAATATGCCTGATTTTCATGAATTCCATTAACAAAGCCTGGCTAGTTATCTACAGTGAAACCAAACTAAAACATTGCTTCTTTCATTCATTTTGTTTTTGCTCGTTTTTGGAACGGCTTTCAGACTGCTGTGATCTGTTTTTCCTTCTGCAGGCTTCTTGCATATTGCAACTCATCAAATACATTCAGAAGCTGCAGGCTAAAGATGTCCCAGTGGCCGAGGAGGTGATGGCTTTGTTTGCAGGAGAATTAAACCCTGTGGCTCCCAAAGCCCAGAAGAAAGTCCCTGTTCCGGAAGGGTATGCAATTGTGACTTTTTAAAGATTTTTTTTTTTTTTTTTTCTTGTTGTTCTAAACTTTGCACATCAGGAAATAGTTTTTAAATATGTTCCAACACATTAAGTGATATGAGCTCAAGAAACTAGATAATTTTAATAAATTTAAAATTGTAACCTGGTCAGGATTGAGTAGGGTTATGAATTGTGTAAAGTTGGTTATAAACTGCGAACACTTTCAACCTTGAAAGACCCGCAGGGGTCGAAACGTCGGTTGGTTTGTTTTGCGTTATGCACATGATTTAAATAAATCAGAATATATTTTTTCACCAAGTTCTGTTAGTGCAGCCTGGATGCCTATTTTATTACATATTGGACGCACCACGGATGGCACCCAGGCGGATAGATTAGAATACAAAGAAGGAGAGTGCCAAACTATTTACTTTTATTTATATATATATATATATATATATATATATATATATATATATATATATATATATATATATATATATATATATATATATATATATATATACATACACACACACACACACACACACACACACACACACTACATTCCTAAAGATATTGAAAATCCCATTACTGCCTATAACATAAAGTTTATTTTGGTCTCTCTTTTTTCTGCAGTTTGGATTTGGATGCATGGATAAACGAGCCCCCGTCAGATAGTGAATCTGAAGATGAAAAACCCAAAGCCATTTTCCACGAAGAGAAGACGACTCACACAAAGTCATCTCGGCCAGAGGTTGATGAGGACGAGTTGGCCAGGGTGTGTATTAAATATCATTTTAGTTTGGAAACCTTTATTGTCGTGAATGTGTTAAAAAGGCTTTTAAACTCCTTAACAACTTTGTACTTTGTTGCTTATGCTGTTTTCCTGATTAGTTTTGTTTCATAAAATAGCCATTTGCTTCCCACTTACAACTCTCTAATTTGCTTTGTATCATTTTGCTGTATCGTAAAGTGTTAATTCCATAACACATGGAAAACCTACAGTCTACTATCTGCTCTTTGCAAACTTACTAGATTGTCTTTCTTAAAGACGAATGACAGTTATGATATAGTAACTACTTTTATGAATATTTGTAGCAATTGTGAAACACAAACATTGGGGGCCCAGATAAATGTCCAAATTCATATGCTTTGGTTTTCTTGTTGACATTTTTGTGTTAATATTGGCGTTTACACAATTTATTAAATTGTACGCGCATATTCAGGGCCAATCTGACATGGACACCTACGTTGCCCTTAGTGGATAACTAAATGGACATTTTAAATTTTAATTCTGCTTCTTCAAACTTGTCTGAATTGGGTTATAAAGGGCCGGATCTGTACAGTTGCTCATTTATAAAATAACATATTCCTTAGCACTGTTACGTTTGGCATAGTGACCACTAGAAGTCTATGGAATATAAAACTGATAGAACTGGAGATTCTGCCTTTGAGAGTTTACACTGTATATTTTCAGATGTGAGATATGCCTTGCATTTTGTTGCATTGAAGTCTTATGACGATGTGAACTTTATTGAAGTAAAGTGGTACTACATAACAAAAACAAGCCTAGCCTTGTAACTTTAGGAAATTGCTTCCCTTTGGAATATTTGCAGTTTAGACTATAGTCACCAGAAAAACAGGTTAATGTAGTTGTTCTGGTGAATATAATAATTGCCTGCAAGCCTTTTGCTGTTAACACTGTCTTTTCATAGAAAACGCAGTGTTTACATTGCCCTCCAGTGGCCACTCCTCAGATGGCCACTGGAGGTGCTTCCTGTGACAGTGCTGCACAATGTGCAGCACTGCCATTCAGTGTCTCCAACCTATGCATGGAGACGCTGAATTTTCCTCAGAGATGATTTGATTCAATGCATGTCTTTGAGGAGGTGCTGGTTGGTCAAGCCAGCGTTTGTCCCCGCCTCCTGGCTGATTTCAGCCAATTCAATGCTTTCCCAATGGGAAATCATTGGATTGTCTAAAAATTTAAAATTTTGATGTCACTAAGGAGGCAGATTGGGGGCGGTGACAGTGCGGCGCTGGAAATAAGGTAAGTTTTAACCCCTTCTAAGGAGGTGAAGGCAAGCCACCTAAATGATGGTTTTAACGCTATAGAGTCAGGAATACATGTTTGTGCTCCTGACCCTATAGTGTTCCTTTTAAGGTCAAAGTAGCCGAACTGGAAGCATAGCTGAATTTTTAACAAAATTTTTTGCAGTTAGACTAATAATTATAGATATGAAATTCACTTTGAATTCTCACTTTAGTGAATAACCCTTTTCATCTCCTGGATTCCACTCAATTCAATAATCTTAATTTCTTATCTTTTTATTCTCTCTTCTAGAGGCGAGCAGTACGGAAGGAAGAACAAGCAAATAACCCATTTTATATTAAAAGTTCTCCGTCCCCACAGAAGGTAATTGAGACCAATTATTTTAAACACGTCAGTTTATAACGTAGTGAATAATTAGTCGCAAGTAATGTAAGTCATTGTATCCGGTGTGCATCTAGTGTTGGATGTACAGAACACTGTTGACTAGAAGTGCTTGAGACCGGCACTTCTATAAGTCATTGATTTGAAGTTTGTGTAGCTCTCATTGGTCAGGCCAGCGCTATATTTGTGCCACTGTGGTCATGATACATAGATTGTTTTGTTTAGAGATTGAAATTGCCACTCATACTAAGGACAGTCTTTTAGTGCCGGGATAGGCAACATTTGGCACTCCAGATATTATGGACTTAATCTCCCATGATGCTTTGCCACCATTATGGCTATAAGAGCATTATGAGAGATGTAGTCCACAACACCTGGAATGTGCGAAAGGTTGCATTCCCTAGTTCTAATGCATGTTGTGTTTAACATGTCCTTTTGTAACAGATATCTGAAGATACCTGCTTGGTGCTGGGCGTACTCTTCCATGTTTGTCTTGATGTATATCCTTTGTTGTATGCATGTATTTAAATGGATTTCCTTTCATTACTCAGCTTTATCAAGAATCTCCCGGTGTTGATCATATCCCTGTTGTGCAGATAGATCTCTCTGTGCCCCTTAAAGTCCCAGGTATGCTCTCATTATTCATTTAAAAAAAAACATTTTTCTTCTTCCCAATCCTATGACTCGTCATACTGTATTTCATAAATCTTCCTCTCTATCTCAAGGGCTGCCCATGTCTGACCAGTATGTAAAGCTTGAAGAAGAACGAAGGTCAAAGCAACGTCAGGAGAAGGACAAGAAGCGCAAGAAAGAAAAAGATAAGAAAGGTGGAAAAACGAGGCGCCATCGCTCGTTTCACACAGAGAGTGATGAAGACATCACTCCAGCCCAGCATGTTGATATCATGACAGAGGAGATGCCAGAGGTTCGATATTATCTGCTTGTCTACATTGTGGGGACATCTTGACTAGAAGGGCAAACTTTGCATCATAAATCATAGTAGCAAGTAGTTTAACTGTATGCAAACTATCCACTTAAAAGGACACTCTAAGCACCAAAATATTAGCTTATGAAGTGCTTTTGGTGTATAGATCACACTTGTGCAGTCTCACTGCTCAAATCTCTGCCATTAAAAGGTAGCTGTCAAAAACAATGTATCTTAAATGGTAGTAAAGTGTTATCTGTACATTGTTCTAGTCGAATTGCTAGCAACTGTTTAGATTTCTGTATCATTATTGCCATTTTTTTTTAGCGCCAACAGATTCCGCAGCGCTGTAAAATCAGAGATTAAGAAATATCCTTTCCCCCCTCATAGTCTATTACAGGGGTAGGCAATCATCAGCACTCCAGATGTTTTGGACTGCACCTTCCATGATGCTTTGCCAGCACTGAGGCTGTAAGAGCATTGTGGAAGATGTAGACGACATCGGGAGTGCCTAAGGTTGCTTATCCATGGTATTAAGTCTGTGCCATTCAGCACAGAGATAAGACTGTGATCTGCGTGTCTATTATTAAGAAAAAAACTGCAAACATATGTCATGACAGGTTCACTTTAAGGAGTTAAATCCCTTTGTTCATGCTGCCCTAGCCACACCTCACAGCCTCCCTACATACTTCTTGTAAATAGAGATCACAAGGATGCTCTGAAAGAGGACTGTGGGAGATTGACAGAATGTATGTAAATGTAGGTGATCAATTACTCAATTGACTGGTTACATTTTAAAACAAAGTGATACCAGTTCCCTGCTTTTAATATCCTCAAACTCCAGTATGAAATTGCAAATCCCTGCCTCCAATAAATACTGTTACACACACCAACAGCCTCACTACAGTGTGGGAAGATTCATGGGGAAGAGAGCGGAACTGTGAATTATATTAACACTTTCTAATATAATAAAGGCAGTGTTGGATAAAATGTAGCTGAAATCTCATAAACGTATTAAGCGCATAGGGGTGAATGGGAATAAAAATGTTGCTTTCCATTGTAAATAGTTTTGGGCAGAGCACTCTTCACCTACTGTCCCAGTGGGTCAATCATGTTTTCTTAGAATTTAGTGTTTGTTTAGTGCACATGTTTTCAGTGCTGCGGAATACATTGGCGCTATATATATATATATAATTGTCGTTGTATATTTAGTATCCATGTTAACTGTGGTAGTTCTAGGTTGTTTTAGGCATTTTAAACTTATTTTATGACATTTAGCATATTAGTATAATGGTGATCTGCATCAAATTCCTTTATTTTCAAGAATGATTATAGATTACTGTTAAAGGGACACTCCAGGCACCCAGACCACTTCTGCCCATTGGAGTGGTCCGAGTGTCAACTCCCACTACTCTTAACCCTGCAACTGTAATTATTGCAGTTTTTTTTTATAAACTGCAATAATAACCTTGCAGGGTTAACTCCACCTCTAGTGGCTGTCTACTAGACAGCCACTAGAGGGCACTTTCTTGTCCACAGCACAGAAAACCTGTGCTAGAGCGTTGCTGGACGTCCTCACGCTGTGTGAGGACCTCCAGCGTCGCTCATTTCCCTATAGGAAAGCATTGAAAAGCATTTGAAATGCTTTCCTATGGGGAGCGCTAATGCGCATGCGGGGCATTGCCGCACATGCGCATTAGGTCTCCCCGGCGGGCGGGATCAGTCTCGCCCACCGGCCGACGCAATCACAGGGAGGAGCGACGTGGGACATTTTTCACCCCTTCAGCAACTGGGGATGGGGTATGGGAGGGAGAGGGGACCTGTAGTGCCAGGAAAACGAATTGTTTTCCTGGCACTGGAGTTTCCCTTTAATTGATCATTGTCCGTTCAAAAAAGAAATATATTCACAAATCTTTACAAAACAAGTGAAAATCCGAGGATGTTCTGAGAAGCAGGTGACCTAACTGTTAGGACTTGTTTTTTGATTTTTGATTCATTAATGTCTGTCAACAAATTCTGAAAATAATTTTAACCCATAACTTACTAAATCAAGAGATGTAAAATATGTAAATTAGATTCAAGGAGTAAAGAGGGACACATTCTCACAGACTTGTTGACATCCTTTCTTATTGAGTGGTTTTTGTTTTATATAGCTTCCAGACCTTGTCACCATATTCTTAGTTTCAGTTATTTCTAGTGTGTTGCATTATGTTATTTCTTTAAGATAACATTTTTTTTACTTTTTACTTGGTTTTCTTTTTCAGAATGCCCTGCCCAGTGATGATGATGATAAGGACCCTAATGACCCTTACAGAGCCCTGGATATAGATTTGGATAAGTAAGTAAAACAGAGCAGTGATGTCTACTGTATTTTATGATGTTCAGCTCAGGGGCACCAAACGTAAGCATGATAATATCCCCACAATGCAAAGAACTATGTATACGGTGCACTGTTTAACCCAGTCTGTTTCAGACCTATCATTAAAGAGGAAATAAAATTTATTGTTTGAGTTATCTTCCCCTTTGACTGCAATAGGCCAGATGGACAGTAAAGGGATCATCGCTACTGATGAGAAACTTCTCTTGGAGTGCCTCCCTCGGTGCTGAAGGAGTTAAAACCCCTTCAGCCACTTACCTTAATCCAGCACCGGGCTCCCTCGGAACTGGTGACCTCTCCTCCCCCGCCGACGTCACATAACTTCTTTTGTTAGTATTCTGTTTCTTAAAGGACCACTCTAGGCACCCAGACCACTTCAGCTTAATGAAGTGGTCTGGGTGCCAGGTCCTTCTAGGGTTAACCCATTTTTTCATAATTATAGCAGTTTCAGAGAAACTGCTATAATTATGAATGGGTTAAGCCTTCCCCTAATCCTCTAGTGGCTGTCTCATTGACAGCCACTAGAGGCGCTTGCGTGCTTTCACTGTGAAAATTCCGGTGAGCACGCCAGTCCATAGGAAAGCATTGTAAATGCTTTCATCGCTGGAATGCGCGCGCAGCTTTGCCGCATGCGGCGCATCCAGCCGGGCGGGCGGAACGGAGAGAGAGCCAGCGCTGGAAAAGGTAAGTTATTACCCCTTTCCCTTCCAGAGCCGGGCGGGAGGGTCCCTGAGGGTGGGGGCACCCTCAGGGCACTATAGTGCCAGGAAAACGAGTATGTTTTCCTGGCACTATAGTGGTCCTTTAACCCCTTCAGACCGGAGGGCGTACTATTACGCCCTATTTTAGGCGGCTCTAAACGCCGCCGGGCGTAATAGTACGCCCTCATGTTTTTGTTTACTTACCCGGTCGCAGGCGATCGCGGTTGGGGGGACTCCCAGGGACCTCCCAATCACATGGCCGGGTTAGCTGGCTGCTGTATTGCCAGCAGGGGGACTGCCTGTAATGACAGGTAGTCACTCTGCTGGATGGAAATAAAATAAAGTAATTTAAAGTGTAAAAAAATATAATTATATACTTAGATCATATATATATACACACACACACACATCACACACACTCACACTCACACTGTCTAGGTGTATTTTACTATTAATATATATATATATTAATATCAAATTACACGTAGACTGATACTGATTAAATATATATATATATAATTATTGTTATATATTTATATAATATAAAAAAATTAAAAAATAAATATGTAAATACGTTAAAAAATTAAATAAAAAAAAAATTAAAAATAAATAATTAAAAAATATATAGATGTATGTTATTTTGTTCTAACTGTATTGTGATAATATATATTTATATCAAAATACACGTAGACCGAAATAATATATATATATATATATATATATATATATATATATATATATATATATATATATATATATATATATAAATAAAACAACATCTTTGTCTGTTTTTTTTATTTATTTTTTTAACCCAAATGATGAAGCCTGTACGGCGAAACACATCCTGGGAATAGACTCTGAAACACTGGACTTGTATTGCTGAATTGGTGTTTTTTTTATATATATGTATATATATATATATATATATATATATATTGTAGCCGTATTAGTCCAGTGATGTAGATGTAAAAAACAGATAAAATTCTTATCTTGTAATACCTTTTTTATTGGACTAACAGAATTTTTTAATGACAAGCTTTCGGGAGACCCTCCCTTTCTCAAGTCTGAAGCATTTCTGAGCAAAACGACACATAGAATTCAAAGTTGAGTTGTGATACAGGGGTTAAAGCGACATGAGTGTAGATAAGACACAGGTTTGTTAGAAAATAGACACCATCTTAGCAGAGGGTCATAAATATCTTGTTGAAGAGAAGAGTGAGGGGGGAGAGAGGGAAAAGAAAAACAAACAAGCAGACAGTGCACAGGATGATACACTTTATACATGCACACACACAGAAATATGTATATGTGAATGCATAAACACATGTATATATACATAAACACATATACATACATGCACATGGACTCATATACACAAATATAAATGCACAGTAATATATATAAGCATTCATGCATACGAGTATGGGAAAGCATAGGTCTACACATAGTACTTTGTATATGGATAGAATAAACATATAGGAATGCATTTTAAAGTGTTGGTACATATGACAGAATAGTAAGATAATGCTGGGAGAGTGTTCATGTAAAGTGTTGGTAGTGGGACAGGAATCCCAAATCAATATTTAGTACTCTCTTCTTGCTGTTAAACCATTTAATCATTCTGGCTTCAAAGGCTTTTCTTTCCTGGGTATTTTTAAAACCCCCTTTCAGTACTTTGATTTTTAGGTCCTGAAAAATATACATATATTCTACATATATATTTATGTAATATTTTTACATTATTAGGTATCTTAATTACAATTAGCGGGACCTGCCTGACAACCCATGCCGAAAGTAAAGGGAATTTAATTTTCTATTACTATATTTAACCCTATAACTTTCCAAGACACCATAAAACCTGTACATGGGGGGTACTGTTCTACTCGGGAGACTTCGCTGAACACAAATAGTGTTTCAAAACAGTAAAATGTATTACAACGATGATATCGCCAGTAAAAGTGACGTTTTTTGTATTTTTCACGCACAAACAGCACTTACACGGACGATATTATTGCTGTGATACTTTTTACTGTTTTGAAACACAAATATTTGTGTTCAGCGAAGTCTCCCGAGTACAACAGTACCCCTCATGTACAGGTTTTATGGTGTTTTCAAAAGTTACAGCATCAAATATAAGGCTTGTTTTCATTTTTTTCACATTAAAATTTGCCAGATTGGTTACGGTTGCCTTTGAGACCCTATGGTAGCCCAAGAATGAAAATGACCCCTTTAATGGCATATTTGCAAAGTAAGACAACCCAAGGTATTGCAAACGGGGTATGTCCAGTCTTTTTTAGTAGCCACTTAGTCACAAACACTGGCCAAAATTGGCGTTTTTTGCATTTTTCACACACAAACAAATACTAACGCTAACTTTGGCCAGTGTTTGTGACCAAATGGCTACTAAAAAGACTGGACATACCCCATTTGCAATACCTTGGGTTGTCTACTATTGCAAATGGTATGCCATTATGGGTGTAAATTTCATTCCTGGGCTACTATACAGTCTCAAAGGCAACATAACCTATCTGGTGAATTTCAATTTCAAATGTAACGTGCTATATTGGATCCTGTAACTTCCCAAAACGCCATAAAACCTGTACATAGGGGGTACTGTCTTACACGTGAGACTTTGCTGAATACAAATGTTATTTTATTGCAGTAAAAGCAAACAGTATTATGACATTGACAGTTAAAATGTCATGTAGAACTAAAAAAATAAAAAGAATTCCTATTTTCTCCCATTTTTTTCATATTAAATTATGTTTCACAGCTAAATATTTGATATTAAATGAAAGCCCTGTTTCCCCTGAATAAAATGATATATAATAAGGGTGGGTGCATTTACTATGAAAGAGGTGAATTACGGTTGGACAAGGACCCACATCCACGAACCACCAAGTTAATGGCAGGACCCAAGGGGACTAAAGGTTGGACCACACTACAAGGACGCGAGACTACTGAAGGAAAACCGAAACTTTATAAGTAGAAGACAAGGGGAGGGGGGAGACAGATACCCTCGACTACACCAAGCCCAATAACCTATCATTCACTGAATGCTAACAACACATAACCAGATGAGACCCAAATTCGCCAAGAATAGCTATTGATGTACTGTGCATCTCATTTGAAACAGATCAAAATGCTTTAAATACAAAACGGGCCTGCGAGCCCGAGACACAGTTTCTGTCTATATTGAATCTCATAACCTATATCTTCTATGAAAAATAAAAATGATTTAAAAAAAATAAAAATTTACGGTTGGACAGACATATAGCGCAAATGCCAGGTTTTGTTTACATTTTGTTTTGTTCACAACGTGTACATTTGGCTCTGTCCTTAAGGGGTTAATGTGCTGATCCCCCTGTGTTTTGTTTTGGGTTTTTTTCTCAGACCCCTAGCAGACACAGAGAGACTGCCAGTGCAAAGGCACAGAAACACAGATGGCCTAAAGTCCCCCGAAAATGAAGCCAGTACGTTAGACCAAAAGATCAAGAAATCCAGCAAGAAGGAGCATAGGCAACAGGAAACGGAGAAAGTAAAGAAAAAAGAGAAAAAGGTACGTATGGGCAAGTTAAATGACATCCATGCACAAACTTATACTGTGTGAACATGGCCGCAGTTGTTGCTAATGTAATGCAAACTTGCACTTTTTGGAAAATCTGTCCTTGGTTGTGAGGGTGCGTTTGTTCGATTCACTCTGAAAAGCGAGAGTAATTATTCCTTAATGCTAAAATCTTTACATTTTACTTTATCCCATATTTGTTTCTTATATTCATGATTTCTTGATACAACACAGTATTTTAAGGAAAGAAACGTGACATTGCTCCTAAAAATATAGACACGCAAAGCCCGGAAACATCATCTAAATATGTAACTTAACTCCTCGTGTGCCTAGGCACCTATTCACGTGAACAAATTAAGAACAATAGGGAAATTGTTCACATTTATATGATTGGAATCCTGGCATATGTTTAAAGTGGTAATATTAAAATAGAATTATCTGATGTATCTATGGCCAACAGTGAATGGTCAGGAAAAAGAAAACACAAACACGTAATCTCTCCTGATAATTGTTTGCCACTCAAAAATGTGAGGTTGGAGCTTGAGGGGGATAAGCTGGCTCAAGTGGGTGGACAGATCAAAACATGAAAAGGAGGTGGGCCCAATTGGTTAGGTAGACCCTGAAAAGACACTGACTCATTCCACATGGTGTGAATGCCCAACAGATTCACCGACAACCTCTGGCCAGCCCCACTCGGACATGTATGTCTAATGATATGCTCACACAGCACTTTCTAGGGATATTTATCTGGTATACCCATAAGTGAGACACCTAGTATCAAACCTGGAGTGGTGGGACAGCAGTTAGATACTGGAGGTATCCTACCTAACCCGGTACTGTTGCAACGTGTGATAATGGGAAAATGTTGAACGAAGGCAAACTACTAGAGCTAGTTACAGATCCACAAATAGGTCCAAAATCTCACCCTTTTCCCTTCCATTTGTATTTTAAAGCAGAAAAGCAAATCAAAAGAGGAGAAAATCAAACGCAAGAAATCTACAGCAAGCACAACCAAGGAGGACGAGGTTCCTGTCAAGGAAGAGGAAGTCAAGGAGGATGAGAAAGCCACCGAAGCTACGTCCGATGTGAGCAAGATGAGCATATTGTGTATTTCGTCAGCACATATGTGTAAGATAGTGAGAAAAGATCGTGACACCAGTCATTACTGCTGTGCACAGTCTGTTTCACACTGTTGTATACAATCTGAGACTGAGTGATAGTATTGCTATGTGATTTTTGTGTGTTGTATTGCACATGCTGAGACTTCATGAGTCACAATGGTCTCTTGGATCTTTTTCTTTGTTTATATACCTATTTGTTTCAATCACCGGATCTGTCTTTGGTTTTCAGGACATGGATTTCTGGCTCAATAACTCTGAGGCACCAGCTCAGTCTCAGGTTAGTAGTTTGGTGAGGAAGGAGCCGCCATAGTGGATTTCTTTCTTTTTGTAATCGAACATGATATATACTTCAAGCCATATCTAGAAAGAAGCGAGACTGCCAATGATTGCCAAGTAGTTGAGGAAATGAACAAGTAGATAAAAGGAACAGGTAGCGCCAAAAATGAGCAATAAATATATAAAACAAGATATGGATCTAAAATTGATCTGTAGGTACACTAACAAAGAATCTATGAAAAAGTTCAAAAAATACCAGTAGATAAAATACAGTCTTTGGATGGAATGTAATCCGTCTTCAGATATTCTTAAAATGCTTGGGGGACAATTCCTCTCGGTGGCAGCATATGAGAAAACATAAAACAGAGACCAATGGTGCAATGTTGATAAAAGAAAGTGAGTGCTTCTAAAAAAAAAAAACTATAAAAAATGCCAACTCACATTTGATAGAGCTATAACCAGCACTTGCAGGATATTTTCAGGTAGTAGTTTGTACCAGGAAGATGATACACTACCACAACAAGAGGACATAGTCTTAAATTAGAGGGACAAAGGTTTAAAAATAATATCAGGAAGTATTACTTTACTGAGAGGGTAGTGGATGCATGGAATAGCCTTCCAGCTGAAGTGGTAGAGGTTAACACAGTAAAGGAGTTTAAGCATGCGTGGGATAGGCATAAGGCTATCCTAACTATAAGATAAGGCCAGGGACTAATGAAAGTATTTAGAAAATTGGGCAGACTAGATGGGCCGAATGGTTCTTATCTGCCGTCACATTCTATGTTTCTATATGGTGGAATATAAAAAAGAAAGGCCAATAGTGCACCTAATTGAGGTATGTAAACACGCACTAAAATTGAAGTGTACTTACTCTTGGTGGAGCAGACTAACACACTTTTTGAGTTAGCAGTGGATAGTATTCTCCCCACCAAGGATTCTTTGTATGGTTCAGAGAAGTAAGGTGCAAGGTAAAATATATATAAAAAATATATATATATATATTTTATTTTTTTTTTATTTTTTTAGATTCTTTGTTATTGTATCTACAGATCATTTTCAGACTCCATATCTTGTTTTATATATTTATTTCTCATTTTTGCCGCTACTTGTCTAGTTCTCCTTTAGAGTTAGAGGGAACCCCCTATCTCCTATTTGCTATTTTGTTTCATTGTTTTGCGCGGTTCCTACCGCTTGTTTGTTTTGTATTTAAGGAAATGGGCATACGTACACACAAACACACTCATAAATATCATTATTCATTTTTGGGTTCAGATATCACCTGGTTAGAAAGCTTGTTATGTTTAGCTAGTTCAGCAGCAATTCTTAAACGCTCCTTGATGCACAGGCCTGCCTCTCCAGGGACAGTCTGGTGAATCCAGAATTCAGTATGCCTTCCCTGGTATCCATTTGTTCTTTTTAACCCCACAGAGCGTACCTGAAGCCACTACCAATATAGAAGAACCTAAAAAAGAAGAGATCATACAAGAAACAAATGAAGAAGAGAATGAAAAGGTAAGCATTACGTTTGTCAGCAAGTCTGCACTGATCTTTTCTTTATAAACACACATGGTGTATTGCTTGGCTGTTACTGTGCATTATTCCACAATTCAGCACTGTATAGTCTGCCAATCTATCACATGAGCCTGTCTTTTTGTCTTGGCAACACATCAATAGGATGAACTGTTTTCTTTGCAGTGGTAAAGAGGCACTCAAACCAAGTGTCTGTAGTGGTTAGCTGATACCATTCCAAGTTTTAAATGGAAACTCTATACCCACTAAGCCCTAAGTGGATACTATTCTGGCAAACTACTTTTCTACCCTATTGTTACCTTTTGTGTCACTATACCCCACTCCCTCTAGTATGGAATCTCATTGAGCAGGTACCTTAATCCCCCCTCTGTTCCTTTCTGTCCAATTCATCTGGTTACAAATATGTGTCTGTTAGCCAACCCATTGTACAGCACTGCGTAATTTGTTGGCGCTTTATAAATAATAACAAAATATTCCTAGCACTATAGTATCCTCTGCCCCCTCGCGGCCACCGCCTCCCCGCCAAAAGGGATAAAACCCTTTTGTCACTTACCTGATTCCAGCGCCAATGTCCCTCAGTGCTGGGTAAGGTTCCACCGACATCAGAGGGCGTGGGGGAGTACCTAATGCACGCTGATCGCATTAGGACTTCCCCATTGGGGTTTTAGCTGACGCTGGATGTCCTCATGCAAAGGTGAAGTACCTCTTATGGCTGTCTGGTAGGTTATAATTACAATTGAAGGGTTGAGACAAAGGCACTGCACCCAGAGATGAATGGGATGAAGTGGTCTGTAGTATCCCTTTATTGTAAAGCCATTTAGGGAAAAATTTTATAGTAACTGGGGCTCGTCCTGTTTCCCAGGAGTTGACCTTTTGACGCTTTGATAATGCTGACGTATTAATTTTGCTTTGCTCTGATCATTACGCACTACATCATTTTTGTAACAAGAACAATTTGCATAGTGCTAGTTTGTACACAATTATTCAGTTACTGTACTCACCTCTCACATATTTTTACAGATATGTTGACCGTTTGTCCTTTTAGTTATATTCTGTGCATGTTTCAGAAATCCCACCGACACAAGAAAAAGCATAAGAAGGAGAAAGATGAAGTGAAGGAAGACAAGAAATCTCGCAAGAAGAAACACCATCACCACCACCACCATCGTCACCACTCACACGAGGAAGAGCAGACCGAATCTGTGCAAAATGGAACACTGGATGAAGAAGAGACTCTGCCGGTTAGAGGAGGAGAGGGTGGGGGCAGATTAAAAAGAGACCTACTATTTCAGAGTTACAAGTCGCTTTGCAGTTTTAAAAAGGAGGGGTGGATTCTTCTGTAACAACTTGAATATTAAAATTGGTATTCGAAGAAAATGCCACATACTCACTAGAGATGTCATTATGTCCTCTAATGACATTGTTGTTCAAAATGTATTCCTGATTATTAACCTTCATCACCGATGAGAGCAATGGTCTTAGAAGTGACCCATGCGTTGTTGTACAATCCTTAAAATAATACTTTTGTGCTAATGTCTGCATAGCCACTTGCATTCATTGTGGTTGTCACATCGCATGGAGCCAAAATGACTCACATTTAAAAAGACATTCATGACCTTTAAGCAACTTTAGCTTGCTGGAAAGCTTTTTGTGTGTAAAGTGTGTCCTATTTCTTTATTTATTTTTTTCATTTTGCAAAAAGTGCACATTTCAATAGAAATTGCCACTTTTATAAATCAACCTGGTTACACCCACTTGGCTTTCAAGCAGACAACCGGTACTTCCTGGTTTGCTTAGCTCAGTGAAGCTAAACTCAAGAGGCCGCAATTGCCCAGAGCACATGCCTTGCAAAGATTTCTCATTGAGCTGCATTGGGAAATCTGTGATTGGACAGCCACAGAAAAAATCAGAGTGGCTTCAAAGGGCAGGGCTTGCAAAGGCAGCAGACAAGAGAACTGCAGGTTTTGCAAGCTGTTAGATATATCACCTATAAACAAATGCATGATTAAATGCAATACCTGGTTTCATTTGGGGTATATGTACTAATTTGCTCATTTGATTAAAGAGAATTCACTATTTTGGAATTCCTGACACCGTAAAGATTTAATCTATTTACTGTGGCTCTACGTATTCTTCAATCAATATGTCTTGTATTTGTTTCTGATCTCGTATGTTCATGTTCCACTGATGTCTTGTTTCATGTGTTCACATTGCTCACATGTCTCCTCTTGTTTTGCAGCCAATGTCCAGTTATAGCACTCTGGCAGAGAGTACATACATCAAGATGGTGAGTCGTGTCATTTAGACATGTTAATCTGTGTGTGATGATTTGTATTTCACAGCCAATTGGCATTCGTTTCAACCTGCACTGCACAAGGTTTTATCTTTCACTTTTCTGACCTTTTTTTCCTGTGTTAACCATCTGTGTTTTAATAACCTTTGTACGTATCAGTCTCTCCGTGCACATCAAACTATACTACTGCTTGGTTTAAGCCCACTGTACTTTTGTGGCATTAGCCGCTCTATGCCAACCAAATATTACCTTCATGCATCAGTGTTCTCTATTCTCCTGCCTGGCAGATGTATGACATTCAAGGGGATCTGCAGAAAGAAAGCCAGGTCACTGTTTCTGTCATCCTTGAGAATCTGAGTCAGAGCTTCCTGAAGAACATGGAGATTAACGTTTTGGACTCCCTCAATACTAAAATGATGAGGCCGGAGGGATCAACTGTCCATGATGGTATTCCTGTACCTTTTCAATTGCCACCAGGTGAGTGTGGATCCTGCAGTTCCTTAAATCTCTGTTTGCATGCAGGTATGGTGCAATTTATATGGTAATAACATTTTAGAAAAGTAATATTTTACTGCTTGGCTGTCAGCATTGGGTTATATGACAAATGCTGCGGTAGATTTGCACTGGTGCATTCCCGAAATGTTTTACATCAAGATAGAAGTGATAGCTCATAATAAAATATGCTGTGTTTTCTGGATTATTTAATCCGTCTTTATAAATCGAAAAACTAAAGGTGATGTGCAAATCATTACTAAAAAATATTGTAATGTCAAAATATAGCACCCTGCCGTAAAATGGTGTCTAACATTATAAATGCCAGTAATAAATAAATAATCCCCTATTGAAATATCTTGTGTCCTAAAATAATCTACCTACTATGAGGATCTGGCCCTTAACACTTCCTAAATGGGCAGGATTATGTAGAGCTTCCCTGCTGGATATTTGTTTGGCATGACCTACGGCCGGCCAAGACTTGCTATTCATTTGCAGATAAATATTTAACTAAAGCCTTTGCTCTGGTACAACTCACATTAAAGACACACCATCAGCCTCCAAGATGTGCATAGATGCTTATCAAACTGGTTAAAAGTTACGATATACAACTGAATTCTAGTAGTTTGCGTAGTTGCAAAAATTGTAGTGTTATAGAGTTTTAAATCTAGAAGACAACCTTCATTATACACTGATCTAAGGTAATTCTAATGTTCGGTTTTGACACTTTAACTAGAAAAGAACATTTGGCATGATTAAGGCTAATGCCAACTGAATAATTTATTCAAACAGACCTTAAATAATGCATAATCTGTATATTTTTTGGCTCTCATTTGGTGCCTGTGTATTATTGATGTTTGATAGCTTGGCAGATGAGCACTGGTTTCGTTTAATGATCTTGTGCTAGAGTGGCTAAAAGCTAGTTCCCAATTGTAGAACTACAAAACCCATGAAACACCATGGTAGTTATAGTTCTACAACACCTGCTGGCCTAGTTAAATCTATCAGCATTGTAAATTCCTGTCACCTGTAAGCTCTGTTTTAAAGTGGTTATTCCTGTTGTGATTTTTTTCTGACAGGTGTTTCTAATGAAGCTAAATTTGTGTTCACTGTCAAGAGTATTGTCATGCCCCAGAAGCTTAAAGGAACATTGTCTTTCATAGCAAAGGTGAGTTTGTTTTTCTTCTTTTTATTTAACCCCTTAAGGACACATGACGGAAATATTCCGTCATGATTCCTTTTTATTCCAGAAGTTGTGTCCTTAAGGGTTAAGTAAAGGTACTTTCTACCGCTTTCAAAAACTAAAGGTGCCGTGTTGCCAATACAGATCATCAGAAATGTGACATTACATAAATATTGGGGGCGGGGTACGATTATTTTTCGTCTTAACCGCTTCACGCCCAGAATAGAATAAACTTTTTTTTTTCTTTCATGTAGATTGAAATCTTTATACTATAGCAGTGGTTCCCAACCCAGTCCTCAAGTACCCCCTCCTAGTCCAGGATTTAGGGATACTTGAGGACTGGGTTGGGAACCACTGTACTATAGGAAAGATTACTTGTATAGGAACAAATTAATCTGCCTTAAGCCACTGGTCAATGATTAAATACCTTCAAGTCTGTTAAATGTCGGCTCACCCACTGCTTCCAAACAGTAAAAGAAATTTCAATGGTAAATATTATTCCTACAGTCATGGAGCAGAAAGGAGTGAATGGCCTCTACCATTTTACTGTTAGTATTACATTACCAGTCCAGAGGGTGATAAAGATTGCTATAGCCATTTTGAAATACCTTTTTATTATAGAAAAAATGATTTAGGGGAATTACATATGTCAAATATTTTAAGTTTGTTAGGCTTCCATATCATTGTTATATAAAAAAAAATTATATTTACTGTCCCATTAATACTGCACCTACTATATTTGCCTTTTGTAAGTTTTGATTTAGATTTTTTTTTTTTTTCGTAGCATCATTAGGCATTAAGTGACAACTGCTTTTATATGAAATCTCACCACTAGGTCTTGGAACTTGCAGCACATGTCACTGCAGAACAGCTAGTCAGGACTGCTTCCACATTCCTGCTTTCTCATAACTTCAACATAGAAATAGTTTGTATTGTTAATCACAGATGTCAAATACTGCTGTCAGACAGGTTCTACACAAGCCAAAACCTTTCTCTTGTGGACACATTTTCGGTTTTCATGCATGGTTATCATTTTCTTAAAATTTTCTTTTACGTAAACTTTGTAGGCTCTGTTTGTTTTATCCCAGCGCTCTTACTGTTCTATTTAAACATAAATGCATTAAAATTGTCTCGATTTCCTTTTTAATTCTTTTTATTTATTTTTTTTTAGGACGATGAGGGTTCATCCCATGAAAAACTAGACTTCAAACTGCACTTTAGCTGCTCTTCCTATTTAATTATGACTCCTTGCTACAGGTATGTTTGAGCAATCCTATATATGTGTGGAATAATGACATTTGTGTATTGTCCAATCAAATGCTTGTGTAGAGAAGCAGCTTACATACACTGTTTCCTGTCCAGCATCTTCATACTTTGTTGTACTGATGCCAGACGTCCACAAGATGCTTTGCCAAATATAAACATCACTGTTTACTGTTCTATAAAACATCAAAATCACTTCATTAAGGTGACATGTTTTTGGTGCTTAGTGTGTCCATTTGACAGTTCTCGCCTAGCACATCTACATAGTAATCTTGTGATGGGTCCATCAGTTCTACTATGTTGTAAGAGCATTTAAATAATCTTGATTGCAGGAATTAGGAGAAGGATGATAGGAATACAGATTTGTATTCTTAACATTATAGAATCCTTTTAATTTGCAAATGCAAACACAGCGATTCGGGCTCAAGTCTGAATTCTGAGCATTTACATGAGGCTTGTTTTACACTCCCACTGATGTTTTACAGTTTGTTTGTTTTCTTCAATACATAAAATAAGCACCATTAAATTGGGCAAAAGTAACAGTATTTGGAAACCAGAGTAATCTGAATGTACCTTTCCTAGTAAAAATACTTTGTTGTTGTTCCTATTATTAGTCGAGCTTTACTGACGTTTTGATGGTTTCATCTCACTCCTTCAGTGATGCGTATGCCAAGCTGCTGGAATCAGGAGACCTGAAAATGAGTTCACTTATAGTTGATACCACCACACTATCCTTCCACCATCTATTAGCGAAGATATGTTTCTACCACCACTTCACTGGTATAGTGCTCTCTATGGGGAAAAAAAAAGTCTCTTATTACAATTCTAATATACTTCTGAAAAATGTAACACTTGGATGTTTTGTTTTTTTTAGTGGTTGAGCGAGTTGACTCGTGTGCGTCTGTGTACAGTCGATCTATTCAGGGTCACCATGTGTGCTTACTGGTGAAAAAGGTAAGCACTTAAAGTGAACCTGTTATGTAAATTCTAGATATTACTCAGTCGGACACCCCAACACATTGAATAGCTTATATATCATAGAAATACATGAGGTCTTCATTGTAAAATATTTTGATTTACCCACCATAGCTTTGTTAGTGTTACTCTTCCGCCAGTGCTCCACTTACTGACTTCTGTGACTTGCCCTGCTTGGGGACACGTCTCCTCTGTGATGTTGACATTCTGGCTTTATTCCCCCGCATGCTGACATCAGTTTGTTTCTGTACTCCTTAGCCAACATTAGCAGCATTGGCTAGGGGGTTACCATAGCAACCACAGCACATGCTATGTGTGAAGAGCAGACGGAGTGCCTCTGGGAGGTCACTTCTGCTGTCACTTGTCATCCATAATTTTGGCAAGATTTGACTGAGAAGTTAGAGAAATACCTATTTTTAAATAGGTTTTTCTTCCAAATGAGACACTTGCTAGCAATGTGTAGACCGCATTTTATGTTCTTTAAAAAGAACATAAGGCGAGGTATCCTTTTAAGTTGCCTACAGGAAGAAAATGAACACACAAAGCTGGTTGCAGCAGACCTATTGGTCAACACATTCTATTTTTCAAGACTTTTTTTTAAAATGTCAGAGCATCCTGCCTGTACCTGTAGGTTGCAGGAGAGATGTGAGCAAATGCTCCGATTTGAGAGTACTTTGTTGGACATTTTCCAAAGTCTCCTGTCCTTTTCAGTTGCTGTTGTATTACTGTGGCTTTATTTGGCAATCACTTTGTCATTTGTAGCTCATTTACACTTTATCTTTTATATTCAATTTGTATATTTCGTCACAGTCTGCACAGAATGCACAGTATTTATTACATAGAGATGTTTTTTTTTGTAAACTATCGTATTTAAAACCAAGCAAGTTTATTGAAGCTTATTGAAGGAATTAATGAGGAAATTTCAAGTTCCCAGCCATCTGAGGCTTTGAAAGAAAATTCAGGTCTGAGGGATTTTTTTGCATTTGATTGAAATTGCAATTAACTGGTCAATTTAATGAGTAAGCTTGAACGAGTCATAATAGAGCAAGGTTATTTGTAACCATGTGCATCAGTAGACATTCCTTTAAAACGAAACCTCAGTCATGACATTCTGCGGTTTAATTTACATGGCCAGTCTGGAAAAATGCACATTTTAAAGGGACACTGTAGTCAACATATAAAAGCAAGAAAGACAGGTCCCCCAGCCTTCTTTCTTGCTTTTATATGAACTTAACATAAATCAGATTAAGGTTTTTTTTTTTCTCCTTGAGAAGCATCATCGCGATGTGGTGCGCATGCGCGGTTTCGCGCTGCACCAATCGCATTCTTCATAGAGCGGCATTGAATGCCACCCTATGAAGAAGCTCAGCGCTCAACCGCGCATGTGCGCGGAATGCGCGTTCGCGAGCTGAGCTGTCTGACAGCTCAGCTTGCTTTCTATGCCTGCCCTCCTCCACAGTCAAACTGTGTTTGCATGTTTGCATAGAAACACTATATATAGAGATCTCTCTATATATAGTGTTAATATGCAAAACACACAAGTAATAAAAAATTAGACATACACACACACACTTTCTCCATCCATATCCATTCCCCATCATCCATATCCATCCTCACCCTCAGTCACCCACCCACACTCACTAAATAAGTTTACTTACACAGTTTGAATCCTCCCCTCCTCCTCTTCGGTCTTCAGCCTGTCAGCTCAAGCCACTCCCACACAGTGCTGACAGCCTCAGCACACAAAGCACGTTCACAGTGCTTTGTGTGCTGATAGCACGTCTGAAGTAGTCACCCATACGTGAATACGTCAGACGTGACTGAAACCTTTTCAGGGCTTCTGAACGCGGAAGTCCCTCTGGTGGCCGTCTGACTGCAGCTAGAGGTGTTCCAAGCTTCCAATGTAAACACTGTATTTTATATGAAAATACAGTACTTACAAGCAACAACCTCATTAAGCTGAAGTTGTTCGAGTGACTATAGTGTCCATTTAATGTCTAAAAACAATCTAGATGGCTAAATGGGACTTTTTTTGGCATCAAGCTAGAAGTGGATTAGAAATTTCAGCTGATTCTTGGTTTCCCATTGATACAAATCGGATTTCATTGCTAGTTTACAAAACATGAGTGGCTACCATTCATTCAAGGCTGTAATTTAATGTTTGGCATGTTTAGCACTTCTCCCATCTGGTTTAATGTGAATGAAAATGTATGCATTGTAATGTTAAGCGGCTTCCATTCCCTCTTATGTTAGTAAGTGCGACTGAAGACAACTGGCACTCGTCCTGCTTTAGCACGATCAGTGGAATTAGGCATTCCTAGCATGTTCCTTTATTATATTGTCCTGTAGTTCTCTGTGACTCCATTGTTGGCTAGTTTGATCAAAACTGGATCAATAAATAATTCTTCAGCATTGAGTTGTAGTTGATCTGCTAATGTTCCTTCGTGGCTTCTGGCACAACTGGAATGACCATTCTAGATTTCTAAAAAGTCCAGAGCGTTCTATAATCTGTTTGACTTTTATCGTTTTCCCTCGTTTCTTATAGGGGGACAAGTCAATATCTATTGATGGGAAGTGCAGTGAAGCATCTCTACTCGGCAACGTTCTCGGCGAGATCAAAGAAACGCTGACGGAATCTTGAACATTGTGATCTCTCTCTCCTTTTATCCTCTCTCTATTCTGCACCTCCTGCAAGAAGCACTCAAACAGAACACAAAGTGAAAAGATCCAGAATTACTCAGCAATTGTTCTGATCCAAACACGCATGTTCTAGCTCTGCCTTTTTTCTGATGCAGGAGACTTCAATTTTACTGTTACTTAAGCGCGGATTAATCTCTCCATCCACCCCTCCCACCTCCATCCTTTTTATTTTGTCATTTTTAGACACTTCAGTGACCAAGAGGAGCTTGTTTAATGGCAACGTTGTTCATTTAACTATTTTGCTGCCAGTGGTTCTGCCCTCAGACAGTAAAATTGTTAATTTTGCGCTTTGTCGAGATCCATGCCGTTTACACTAGCTGCAGAGCATACTTGGCCTTTCCTGCAATATAGATTAATGACCTACAGAATATCTGTTAGAGAAGCTGTGTGAGATAATAATTTAAACTGCCCGTGTTTGATTTGTACCGGAGATGCAGACCTAACAAAACAGACCTCTATCTAGGAAGGGGCTGTGTATAGTTATTCCAGATCATGATCGCTACGGTGAGCCTGTAACGCCCTCATACCTACAGTTTACCATGTTGTGCATGAACTGCTTGTAGGATATGACCTTACAGAATTTTGTTTTCTTTATTATTTCCTATCCCCTTGTTTTGCTCCGTACCCTAATTTTGCATCCTTTGGGTAGGCTGATGCCATGTGCCTCTGATGGCTTTCTCCAAAAAGTAAGCAGGTCTGAAGACATTCCTTGCAAAGTAACTTTTACCACCAGAAACTGGAAAAAAGACAAATCTCAATTACTTTCCGCGTGTCTGTGTGTTTTTTGTTGCCCTGTTTTGTGTGTTGCTCCCACTGTACTTCTGAACCAGAGTCCACTTATTTACATATAAAATATTCTAGTTTGTGCTGTACAGTCTGGGTACCATTAAATGAAACGTTTACCCACTTTTGCAGTTATAGAGGTATTCAAGCGTTGTATTCCTAGGTTTGTTTTAGGCCTTTTTTTAAATTGCAAAAGATTTCAAGATTTACAAATCATATGGCTACTGGGAAATCATAACTGGTGGTGCCTTACTGTAATTCCCAATCATGTTTTCAAGTGGGCTTAATCGCACTACAATGATGTTTAACCTTTATTAAATATTTTATTCAGGAATTATTATATGGCCCGGGTGTCTGAAAATGCAAAAAGGGACTGATATCTCGGTGAAGACCATGGGCTGCCATTTCGATATTGAAATCATTTTTCTGTGCATTATTGTCATTTAATGCCTCCTAATACCCAACCTGTTAAATGCAACAAGAGACTCTTACGGCTGTTTCTCTTACCTTATAAAGCAGAAATCTTGAAGTATGTTGTCAATCTTGGATACTTTTAATTCACTTCTTTTTTTATACACGTTATAAAAAAAAAAAAAAGATAGTTACAGGGAGTGAAGACATGGACGGCAGGTTATTCACGGAATACTGTGTTAGAAACACTAAAGTCACACTCTATCCCAAAGATAATAGAAGAGACTGACTGCAGTCCAAATTAACAAGTGCCACTGCATATTAGATGTGATGTCCGCTTGATAACCTCTTCCTCCCCCCCCCACTGTCTTTTCGAAGGCAAAGTGCTTAATGATGTTTTTCAGATCTATTAAAAAGTATTAGTCTTCAGGGATGCAGAAAACTATACACATCTGAAAAAGACATAGGCAGTACCTTGAGCTCTGCTGTAAATATTCTTGTAGTAGTCTTCACATATTGTACATCACACAGTGTGTACAAACACTGTTACCTTTCCAATGCCTGGGTCAGTCACTCAGTCACATTACACTTCAAACTCCCCTGCCGCTTTGCATTTAGGGGGGGCAGTAAACAATTGTTTTAACTTCAGATTTTGCCCATCCTGTTTTCTCGTGGACTCAAACTTGATCACACAGTCTGTGTCCATATTTATGTTTTGTTTTTGTTTGTTTTTTTGTCCTGACTCTGCCTTGGTTACATTCGCATGTATAATATCTTCTTTCCCAAAACCCTGTGTGGTGAATATAGAAGTTTCCAGTCTGTATGTGTTATAAATTCGCTATCGACATTCCCTTGAAGGACAGAAAATGGTACCACAGAAGCTGCTGTATTTGTGTCAAGATGATCCACAATAAAGTATCAAAATGGTCAAGATTTATTTGTTATTGTCAATATTTTATCTTTAAATATTTGAAAATGAATGTGTGTACTAGCATGAAGAATAAAGGGACACTGTAGTCACTATAATAATTTCATCTCTTTAAATTAGTTACAGTGCCTGGAGTCCCCTGGCGCAGTTCCTGCATTCAGTGTTAAACCATTTTAAAGTAGTTTAGCACCTATATAAGGGTCCCTGGCCACCCAAAGTCCGGCCCCTTCTGGAGGTGTGGCTAAGGGAGAAATTACACACTTCCTTGTTGTCGTACAGTCTGTTGGAGCTCTGATTGGCTAAACGCAGTCAGCTGACACAGGGGAGGACTGCCTGGGATGCTCATTTAGCATAAAAACATTAAAAACTGTTTATTGTTAAATGGAATGATGGTCCCAGGGGACTCCAGACACTATAACCAGGTTAATGAAATGAAGCAAACACAGTACCTACAAGTGTCCCTTTAATGACTGGATCTTTATAAAACACTGATTAAACCACTACCCTGTGTCTAATGCATTGTAAACATTACAAATTAAGTTAAATATAATGAGTAGAATGTGGTTATGGTGCTCGGTGTCCATTTTAAAATTAATGTTGACTTTGTTGTCTCACTTAGTAATTGCTTGGTGATTTTAATTGATTTAAAAAAAAAAAGAAATTTCAAAATAAAATGGTACAGAGCACACCTAATGCATACCATTCTTTATTAGCACCTAGATGTCTTTTTCAAATTTTCCTGACTTGATCTTTACTTCAGAGTTAAAGCAATACTCCAAACACCTAAAGCACTCTAGCTTGCTGGAGTTTCTCAATGGAATGGGGAATATGTTGATATGACTCCACTTCGTTACTATTCAGATATGCAAGGGGTAACAACCAACTACCTTTTTAGCAGAATACCATACAGTATACGCCTTTGTATTTACTGTAGTTTTGAAAGATGCATCTAATGCAAGAATCCCTTTTTCAGTAAAAATAAAGAAATCACTGCTTAACTTGCCTTTTTTGGGTGCTGACACTCCGTTGGCGCTGCTCACCGCTCCATCTCCCACAACATCAAGTAGACATGGCAATCTCCAGTGATGGTCCAATCTCCTAGACCTAATAAAGTAATAGAGGTCCAGGCACTCCTTGGTTCAAGACAGGTACTTTATTAGGAACCACAATAAAAGACCTGACCTGAGGCACATGTGTGGCGAATGCCGCGCGCACATATGTTCTTTCTAACAAAAAGCATTGACTCCATTTAACGTGACAGTTTTACTTGGTCAGTGCAGTAGCGGTCAGTATGACCGCCACTAGGGGCGTGTTTAAAGTGTTCCTGTAATGAAAAATATCGCTATCCCAAAGATATATGGTGCATTCAATGCAAATTATACTGATTTACTCACCTTTGACCGAGAGTTGACTCATTCCCGCCTCTGAATTTGTAGAGTTGTGGCAGAGCCAACGGGTGCCATCTACACAACTTTTAGGTTATACCACTCCTAAACAATTTAACTCCTTATAAGATGAGGTACAGGACCTCTAGGCCAGTGTTTCCCAACCCAGTCCTCAAGGCACACCTACCAGTCCAGGATTTAGGGATTATCCAGTTGTGTCTAAGGTGTTTTTTTTCTTCTTTGTAAAAACACCTTAGACACACCCTGTAATCCCTAAATCCTGGACTGGTAGGTGTGCCTTGAGGACTGGGTTGGGAAACACTGCTCTAGGCAATTAAAATAACTGCTCGTTTGGCAATGCAATGGCTAAAAGGTGCAGAGGAAGGCGGGTTATATTTATCTGAACATGTCCCTCACAGCCATCACCTCTTCTTCCTGGTAGCCCTCTTCAGCTATTGGTATCAGTATTGCACACTCGCGCATACAGAAGTGTGTACAACTCTATCTACACAAGCTATGGAGGATCCTGCAAGATCGTGTGATACTCCATAGACAGAGCCTTCTTTTTCCCCCAGACTGTTCTGACTTTAGTAAATATTCCTGAACGGGATAAAACTCCAAAACAATAGCGAATTGAGCAGTGACACTGCAGGGCCATGATCTATACACCAAAACAGCTTCATTAAGCTAAAATTGCTTTGGTTATAGGGGTAACTCTCTTAGAATTTATTACACAGTTTTATACAAGCCCCAGTTGAATCTCCAGTCCACCTCCTGTGAAGTCATCAGTTCTCTGAAAACATCTGAGACACAGCACACACATCGGTCACTAATCTGCCAACAATATATTTAGCAATCACTTCCACTTTGAACTATGCATCAAAGAGAGTGACACAGGTAACAGAGGCGTTACTAAGGAGATTTATAAAAAAAAAAATGCGGATTCTCTTGAACTTATACAAATTAAGCCAAAAGGCACATGCAATTAACTTAGGCGTTCTATTAATGCTGTTCGTGTCCTGTACCCGGCTTTCACCTGCTGCCCACGAGTAAATTACCAAAACTAAAAAATTCTAGACAAAAAGTTAGCATAATTCATCCCTTTTTGTTATTTGTTTATTGTAATATGCAATGTTCTTAGCTTCTGAAAATGTTGTTTGGATTGGAAGCTGCCCTACTTTCAAATTTGAATGTGTCTGCTACACAGTTACAAAAGAAGACACAGTTGTTAACTTTTGACTTTAGGCAGGAAGTACAGTATTGGTAATTTAACCACGAGCTACATATTTTATCATTCAAACAAAGACTACGTTATTCTTGAAAATGTGATAAAAATCTGAAAATCAGGCAGTCTAAATATAACATCACGGTGAACGACTTGCATTGTGTGCGTAAGATAGCTTGCCTTAGGGAACAACCTCTCCATTTCAGTACAGTCATGTCTTAACTTTTATTTTTTTGCTTTATTTTTTTTAACTCTAGATGACCAAAATTGTTTTGAAGACACCTCTAGGTAGTTTCGAAAACAAGTAGGAATTAAAGTCAAAGGACGATGTTATTGCGTTTTTCAAGAGATCTCAAATATGTAGATAATAAAGCCTAACAATCTTCACGGCAACTCCATGTTGATTCTGTACTCGAATGCAGCAAGGCTTCTTAATCTCATCTAAGATGAACTGTATACTGATCCTGTGGGTGTTACGTACACAGTATAGAATTCAGATTATTCCGTTACTTATCTTGTACTAATCTTGGACTGTTAAAGGCATTGCTATCCTAACCTAATTCTATTTAACCTAGAATGTGGGGTAGTGAGGAGATTATGTATAATAATGTCAAATGAAACTACAAGAACATTATTATAGTTAAAGCAGCACTGTCATCCCACCATAAAACAACCTGTACCATAACTACAGTACGTTTCGATGTGTGAGAAAAGAGATAAAAAGAGAGAATTTGGGATAGAGGCTGTGTTTTGTAGGGGGGTGAGAGAGGATCAGTGTTTTGTTTTGAGCAGTGGAGTGTCCCTTTAACACATTATAGTCAAAGGAAATTATGAATACTTTTTTCCCAGGGCAACAGTAAGGTACATATTTTATGCAATTCACCTTAGGCTTACAGACAGTCTGAAAGTGACTAGTTAACATGATAGTGTATAAATAATTCATGAATTGCTAATGGAAAGAATGCAATGTTTAGAAATCCTAGCAGGCTTCGGTGTGACGTCACAGCTCCTGCCGGTGGAAAACATGCAGGACCTCTCTGTTTATAACCTGGGCGAATATTTACTGCGGAATTATAAACACACAGAATACATTTGCAGAGTATAATCATGATATATGGATGAAACATCCCACTTCTGTTTTTTCTAACATTTATGAGTGCCTCGTTGGGAACTTACCCAAGAAGAAGCATTCCATAAATCGGACCAACATTTGTAAAGCATTTATTTCATGTTATGGGGTAAACCATACAGCTACAATCGTGGGCGAAAGAAAGAAAACCCTCTTTGAATTCTATGGTTTTAACATATCAAGACATAATAGCAATCATCTGCTCCTTGGCTGGTCTTAAAATTAGGTCAATACAAACTCAGATGAACAACAACACATGACATATTATACCGTGTCATGATTTATTTAACAAAAATACTGTATATCTACGTATATAAACAAAAAGGTTGCTCCACAAGAATACAATAAATACTGTTGTCCGTAATCAAGTGAAGTAGTCCAGAATGAAAAGAAAAACTCCTTTATATGCAGTATGAGTTCTTGGGTAGCTGGTAGATTCTTCTACTGAAAAGTAGGTTCCTTGGTAAGATCCGTAGAGATATGTAAACCAGAAAGAACAGGAAATCCAATAGTGCAATACATCAATATAAGCATGGTATATATAATAAAACAGCGGTATCGTACTCACATTTAATGGAGCTATGACCAGCTCCAGTTGTAGCAGCGTACAGTGGTATAGTCCCCACTTACGGGATATGTGTATAAGTGTCCGAAGGAGATGTAGTTTTGTTGAACCCATAGTGACAAGAATATAAAAAGGCGGATAATAGTGCTCTCTGCTGCAATAAAAAAGCTAAAATAATAATTGTAGTGAACACTCACAAATATAAAGCAGGCAAACTGCTCTATGGATAAGGCGCCGGTGGTACAATTCCTACCTAGGATTTCTATGGAGTAGATAGGAAGCCAAGAAGTAAATATGATCAAATAAATCAATCTATAACAAAAAGTTAATTTGGCACAGTACACAAGCATAGTGACCAAAAAACCTTTATTAGATAAGAAAAACAAAGTGATAATTTCCATAGAAGATAAGACACCTGAAACACAAAACAGCAATTAAATAAAGGGATCAGAGAGGAATATGGCCTTAACCTGCATATAAAAGAAGAGACTGATACAAATGATATGTGAAAGGAAGGTAAATAAGAATGCATTAACTTTCCCATTCTCTACTAAAAATATTTTATAATTGTCGATTATAAAACTTACAAATGTGTCATTGTTTGATGGCCCTCATGCCTCATTTTACTAATTGAGAAATCGATCCATCGAGAAAAAAAAAACTTTAATGAAATAAATAACAGATCAAAAAGTACAAACAAAATAATCTGGATACTTACACACATAAAAGATTAAGTGCTTTCCAAATGGTGTTTATATGTCCCTTGCATTCAGTTGGCTTCAGCACAACCCTACAATATGAGTTTCCTACTGTATAGTGCGAAGTTGCCTGGTTTATTTGGAATGTCAGGTTTGTTTGGCGTGTGGAATAAAATAATCTAGGTTATGGTTTATCTCACTATGAAAAGAGTCTTTGATATCTCCTAGAATGTAAGCTCATCTGAGCACCCTTTATGTTTGTCAAAGTCATAGGCGTGCGCACGGGGAGTGCCGGGTGTGCCTGGGCACACCCTAATCCCCACGGCACGTGCTATGTGCCCCTCTCTGTGGGCTGGTGAGGGAGATCAGAGATCTCCCTCACCGGCCCACAGCAGCATGGAGGGAGGCAGGAGAGGACCCGGGGAGCTCTTGCCAGCAGC